AATTACTATAATATTTTCCATGAAATTTCAAAAAATTTCTAACAATGTATACAATTTATTTGAGATCAATAAAAATGTAAATTAAAATCAAGTTTATATTAGAGTAAGCCCATTTGTTTTATTTGAATGAGATTAATTTAATTGAAGAAGAAAAAGTTTCCTCGTTTTGTCTCAATACCTTTTTTCGAAATTTTGATTACATTAAAATTTTATCGGAATTTCAAAAAATTTTGTCATTGAAAATTCACAACTTTATGGAAAAATCAATGAAAACTGTAAATTTTAGTTCAACTATTCAACCACAAGTAAACTTTCTAAATTTTTTTGAGGTTTTTGAAATATTTTCAAACGGCTCAATATCGAGATTCAAATTCAGGCCTGCAAAGTTTAGATAACAAAATCACTGCAAACTTGGGATCGAATGGGGCTCAAATGAAAGCTCTAATGTTCGACTACAAAAATAGAGAAGCATTTCGCTAGAGGAAAAATACCCAAAGTGCTCGGGTATCCTTAATAAAAAGGACATTCACTTTTTCAGAATTATTATCTTCTCTCTTTATGACCATTTTATCGCTTCATATCTAGCTGCCCAAGGCTCTGTCAATATTTATCCAACAATTTACATAGAAGAAGATAAACTATAAAATGAAATAAAAAATAGCCCCGCACCATGTAAACATTTGGCTTCATCAGGCGGTAGAGGGTGAGCGATCAAGTTTCATTGAGAGAAAATGAGTTGAAATTGAGTAGAGCCCGGTGATCGAGACGAGGGATAGGGATCGTGGCTGCCCTAACGGTGTAACCGATCGATCTTGTCTATAGTACGTGGCTCTGACCCACTTACACTTCCGAGTCACCCCCCGTTTGCCAGACCCCTCTGTCATTGTCCAGACATGATTTTTTTTTTGTCAGAGAAAATTGACGACAGGGACCCTCGTTGATGACGATTCATGGGGGAGATAGATTATTACCATCTTGATGTCTGGCCCGTCCATTGCCACTGAAATTCGCAAACGCGATGGATTCATCAAGAAAATCCGTGTGGATTGAATCTGTGGATGGCTTTCAGGCTTGAGGTATGTGATTTATCGAGGGGACAAGTCAAATAGGGAATTGGATTGATGAGGGAAATATGTTTATTGATTTTGTCTCATCACATCTCAGTTTAATTAATTTGACTATCACCCGCGTACTGGCGAGATTTCTTGTGACCTTGCAAGGGAAAACGTAATCATGTTTTCGGGTGTTTACTGAGAAAAAACTCTCATTTCCTGCAGTGAGCGAAAAAATGAGGGAATTACTTCCTGTTTGTGATTAAAGAAACGAGGGCTGTTTCAGAGGGGAAAAGGTTCCTTAAATTTTGTCAAGGGGAGGACAATACGCGGAGAGAGAGGTTGGATAAAAATTACGTATCTTTTCCGTAATTCCGAAGCGAAATGTGTTTGTAGGAAATTCTACGGAACTGTCACGTAATTTTTACCTAAAATAACGGAATTTTTCCAGAGCGTTTCGCAATTTTTATTATAATCTCCTGGGAAAAATTACGATATTGTCACTTAAATTTTCTGACTCGATTCCGTAATCGGTGAGCGAGCTGTGAGTTCCGTAATTTATATTAAACATATCTCTCCGTGTACTGTAGGAAAGGTAATCGCGGAGTGAAGTGTAATTTAATGAAAAAATACCTATTTGTGGAGGTATTTTACGATTCGTTCGGTTAAAAAAAATTACAATCATCTATTGTAGACAAACTTAATGATGGAGAAATTCTCAATCCGAAATTTTTTTCCTCTTTACTGTCCAGCCATTATCCACTCGGATAAAGTTCCTTTCCCCGCCCCCGCCCCTTCCGATACATTAAAAACGATATTTTGGACTATCTACCTGAAAAGTGCACTTTTCGACACGATTTAGTGTGCGTAAAACGGTTGTTTTCAGGTGTGCAAAGCTTCGTTTTCAAATTAAGTTCAAAATTCACTTTACTCTTTAGTGAATTTCGAGTGCGTAAAACTTCGTTTTAAAATTCACTTTGAAAGTCCCTTTACGCACGCACTTAAACTTGGCGCACTCGTTTACAAAACAATCACTTTACCCCTTCTACCGTTTCGGACAGGGAACTCAGCAGTTATCGAAAAAAATAGGATGTGCTACACGTGTGCGTAATAGTATATTTCGATACGAGTGCGGAAAAGTGTTTATATCACTCGCCTTCGGCTCGTGCTGTAAATTTCCCACGAGCAAAAAACACTTTTCCAAAAAAACAATGTATGGAAAAGGGACGTTTTAGGCACGCGAAGCGTGTCTAAAAAGTTTTTTTTTTGCACACCGTGATGAAAAAGTGTTTTTTGACCCGTGGGAGGTGTGTAGCGTTCGCCGAAGGCGAGTGAAGGGAGTAGGGTCAAAGGACACTTTGCCCACGAGTATCGAAACCTATTTTTCATTACAATGTGCGTAAAACTTCACTTTACGCACAAGTGATGAAATATACCATTATAATTTCTTCTGTATTTTTTGCACATGCAATAAAACTTCTTTCTGATTTTACCAAATAATTCACGAGAGTTAAAAAACTTGGATTTGTTTATGTTATGAAGCTTGAATTTGAAAGAATTCAGAGGAAACCTTTTCAATTTTGTAATCGAAAAACATGAAAAGCAATCGAGATGAAACTTGTGGTGAAAGTCATGGGAAGCTAATAAATTGTAAAGCATATAAAAAAAGTAATGATGTCGAGTGGTTATAAACCAAGAGCTACTTTCATTTACCGAAGCTGAATTTATACATTACGGAACTCGTTTTATAACATTCGGAATTTTTTCCATACTCATTAATTTAGAAAATCCGATAATTGAGGGTTTGAAATATATCTTACCACCAGCCAGCGATAATAACGCAGCTTGGATAAACTCTCGCGATTAATTATTTCAGGCCATGGAGAATGCTTGTGGTTGTGTAAATGATTGAGAATGTACCAGTCCTCTCTGTTTCGTCCTCGGCTGAATAGAATGAATACATGCGGTGCATTAATAAATTACATTCAGGAATTGTCTCTCGGAAATGGGGATGAAGACACTCATTTGAGTGGTGAATGTCGAAATTAAAACTATTCCACATCTTGTGGAAATGAAATTGACGCAATTCCGAAGATGGCGAATCTCTGATTGATTATGCAAATGATTATGAGTCACGAATTGGTGCAATGAGAGCAGTCAATACTTATCTTCAAGATGAGTTTTTGATACACAAATTTAAAAATTTCAGGACTGAGTTATATTTTTCTTACTTAAGGATATCCAAGTATCTTCTAGTTTGGTATGGACGACACTATAAATTCAACAATGTTCAATCATCCAATTTGTTAATTAAATTGTAAGAAAAATTCGAAAAAAAATCAGAAATAATCAGGGTGATTGAAATTACATTTTGCACAGAATGATTATTTCTTAAACATTCGTTGTTTATTAATGAATAATAGAAATTGTTTAAACATTCAGAAATCTCATTTTTTTAGGCATGGAATCGATTTCTGGTAAAATTCTGGATATAAATAGATTTGTTACGATTCCGAACAAATGATTTTTATGGTGGAAAATTGATTGTTTATAAATTATTTATAGAAAATGCGCGTAATTTTGAAATTATTTCACCAATCTTCCTCCAAAAGTAAACTTTCTTTTTTTTTCAGATTTTTAAAATGTTTTCTCACGATTCAATGTCGAGATCTAAGTTCACACCTGCAGCTTTTAAATATTTTTTAATGGTTATTACCACTGTATAGTTTCACACTTTGTGCAGTTTTAAAATAGTAAAATCATTGTAAAATGTTCGTAAACTTGGGTTCAAATGGGGCTCGAATGAAAGCTCTGATGTTCCATTAAAAAAGTACAAAAGCATTTCACTGTAGAAAAAATAGCCAAAGTACTTGGATATCCTTAAGCGATAATAGTACCTCTCACATATTAAAATTATTTCTGAAATTAAGAGCAGATTTTCCATCGAAACATTTACTCGCAATTTAATATTATAAATTCCGCGATCCCCGCCTAGAATCAACTAAACATGTAAATTTGTCAAGTACAGTTATGCGAGTTTTAAACCACAATGACAGAGAATTACAACATTTCTCTGTGAAGTGAAAATACCTCCACGTATGAAAAAATCGTATAGAACTTTTCTATACGGATCGCGTATAGAATTTCTATAGGATTTCTATACGGATATTTTTCATACAAATTATTTCTATACGATTTCTATAGGTTTGATCCTATACGACCCATTGCCACATGTACACTGATAGACTGATTCATTCATTCCAAACGAGATTCGTTAACTATTAACGAATGGTAGAGTTGAATATGACCAAATGAATATTCGTTAATAGTTAACGAATGGTTCACTTGAATGGCGAAAGTCAAGTCAAACAAGGCTCCTCAAATAAACATTCGTTAACTATTAACGAATGAACATTTGGTGGGACCGAATAGACCCTAACCTGCAACCAAAATCCATTCGTTAACAATAACTAATCCCTTCTATCAGTGTATAGAAATATTTCCTATGGAGTTGCGACATTTCTCTACGTTTTTCTCTGGAGCGTTTAGACATCTTTCGTATGAAAACAAAAATTTATGTATAGAAATATCCGAATATCATATACAGAAATTCTATAGACTTTCTATACGCAATCCGTACACTGATAGACTGATTCATTCATTCCAAACGAGATTCGTTAACTATTAACGAATGGTAGAGTTGAATATGACCAAATGAATATTCGCTAATAGTTAACGAATGGTTCATTTGAAGTCATTTGAAGTTAAAATTTGATGAGACCGAGTAGACCCTCGTCTCCAACCAAATCCATTTGTTAACAATAATTAATCCTTTCTATCAGTGTATAGAAAATTTCTATACGAGTTTTTCATACGTGTCCTTTCATTCAACAACCCCTTCCCTTCCAAAATTCCCAAAAATAACGATAAAAAACTTTTGTTTTGCAGGTTCGCTCAAGATCCTTGAGCCAACTTGACATGCTGGACGCCGGGGAGCACCCGCTGCCAAGCGGTGCCACCCATCAGCCACCCCAACCCCACCAACTGTCTCACAATCGTCATCAGCACCCCCATCATCATCATCAGCTGTATTCACCGAATCCCATGGACTGCAGTCCACGTCTCCTCGTACCCAGTGCAACATCCATCACCGATTCGTCTCACACATCCTCCCGAAATCGTCATAAACTCTCTCGCTCCCAGGTAATGCACAATTTATGAAGGCCCAAGCCAGCACATCGAAAATTCCCATCGCGTTAATCAATCTCGCGATATACAGCTGCTCGTGTTTGGTATACGTTTCAAATATTCGCACAATTTGATTTCCATGTGGCCACTGATAATGTCGAATATCTCGGTGGAGATATTATTTCATCGGTATCCGACGTAATTAGTGCGAATTCAGAATTAACTCGATGGAAAATAATTTATCACTGGAGTGCTCATTTGATTCTCTCACTGATGAAAAAAAGTTTCATAAGAACTTCTATTACTTTTTATCGTATTTGACATCAACTTTTTAATCCAACCTCTTTTTAATTCCAATGGACTTTTCTCGGGGTTTGAAAATACCGAGATAGAGAAATTGCAGCTATGTAATTAGGCCCTTGCCTCGCACTGACGCAAACTTAAACCAGAGGAGACTCGGTATAAACTGGACTCTGACGCAACTCAGCTTCTTCCCTTTTCACTTGATTTAAACTCCAACATTGCATTAATCTTCGTGACATTAACTTCTGACGTTGCTTCAGTGTAACATCTAGCCACTCAGGGTACATATGAAATGCTAACGTTGAAGTTCAACAATTGAATTTGATCCTAGTTTGAATTTTGTAGGAAGTATGCCTGGTGTTTATTTTTGGTATTGAATTTTAGGTATCCAGCAGTGAATATTTCAGTGTCAGTTTCGAAGTTGGTGATGAATCCGGCTCGTTGGAGCGGGAAGAGTTTCTACCGGCTACAAAGGGACAGTATTTGGTGTAAGTAGGAGGGACAAAGTTTTTATTGAATTTGGGGGGAAACTATCGCTTCAGAATTTGCATGAGTTTAGTTTAGATCGAGGTTTTTGTTTTTATTGGAAAATATTGGTTCTCTGTAATGAAACGGAAGTTCACTTGCACGATATGGATTAATCGAGTTATAGTATCGACGAAATTTCCGTTAAGTTTCGGTGAAACAGCCATGCTCCTGTGCAATTAAAGTCAAGGAAATTGTTCATCCTTTGTCCCAATATTGTGCCAGATATAAAACACAAAAATGGATTCCTCAAATTAATTTTTCGTCTGTATCTCACTGTAATTTTCAGTAGAGTGACATTAAATTCGATTTAGGAGAAAAAAATCATTAACTTTCAAATTTCGCGAAAAATTACATGAAATGCTAAATTTTTTAGGGACAGGGAGACAACGCGTTCTATTCCAATGTTTTTCCACATGTCAAAAATATTAATGGATTTCATCAAATACATTCTTCATCCACATCGCGAAGAATAATGATGGTCACTGTAATTTTCAACAAAACGACATTCAATTTAATTTAGGGAAAAAAATCATTAACTTTGAAATTTCACAGAAAATTATATGGGATGTCAAATTTTTTAGCGACAGGGAGACAAGAATTCACCAACTTACTTGAATTTTCAATCAAAAGATTAATATTGCGTACCAAATTTCGCTGAATGTTCAATTAATTGACAATTCAACAATACCTTCACCTGAATGTTCTTGATTGCCATTGATTTCAATGAAATAATTAAACGAAAATTTGCAGTTTCCAGTGATTTTTTCATCCAAAAGTGAATTTTCAATGTTTCAAAATACAGGGAAATTTAATCCCGAATTTGAGAAAAAATGACTCATTCTGTTCCAATACTTTTTCAAATGTCTTTTGATGAAATGATTTTGTGAAATGAATTATTTGTCTGTACCTCAAACACTGTAATGAACTTCACTGTTCAAAAAAAAAGAAATTTCATGAACAGTTCAATAGTAATTTTCAGGAGAGGGACATTAAATTCTATTTTAGAGGGAAAAACTCACGGAAGTTCAAATTCTTGTCAGAATTGAATGGAAATCTACATTTTTGAGCGACAAAAAGTCTAAAGGTTTCATTTATTCATAATCCCGAATATATTAATTTGGATTTTCCTGATTTCCATTAATTTTCATCAATTTTTTATAAAAACGTAAATTTTTACCGACAAAATTCCTTAAAATTTCCGTCAAATTGTCAATTGATGAAAATTTCCAAAAAAAGAACCGGAAATTTCAGCCAAAAATGTTCAACAGCGTAAAATCAGTGATTTTTTCTAAACAGAGAAAAGTTATCCTTGACCTAAGTATAGAATCCTTAACAAGACAAAGATTTATGTCCATAAAAAAACTTCAATAAAAAAAAATGCACCACTTTACTCGACATTTTCTGGATATCACAGTAACTGGAGGGGAAAAATTCTCGACCAAGGTGAGAATTCATATTCTGTAAAAGAAAAGCATTGCGAATTCATCTGATCGAAATTACTGATTCAAGGTGCACATCCACACGTCAAAATAGTACGATAAATGGGTTCGCACATGAGCAGACTACATGAGTAATCGATTAGTAGAGCCATTTCCTCATAGAGCCCCAATAAAATCTCTAAAATACAGTATTTACCAGCGTAAATAGCTGAAGATTTCCTGATTGACGTCCATCGCCAGACAGGCATAAATGTGAAACATGCAACACCATAAAATATCAAATTTTGCGTTGGTGGTATGTTCCCAGGGTAAATGATGAGGGGAGCACTGTAAAAACGCTTGCAAACCCTCCGCAAACAAGAGTTTACCTCGCAATAAAAAATAGCATCAAAGGAAACCCACGATATTTTATTCAGCATGAACTTTTGAAAATGATAGGTGCGGATACTCAAGCCTCCTGACATTAAAACAAATCGCTGAACCTTGGACCGCGGATCAGATAATCCTCACTCTCAATTACCGTTGTTCTAGTTTCGCAAAGTACAGAAAGAAAAAAAACATTGAACCTCATGCTAAATGCGGAATAATAAAAATAAAGAATTCAAAATGTTTAAGGCTGTTTTTTTAAGCGACGACCTGTTTCGCCCCAATACTAAGAAATAGTTTGGAGAGAAAAATTTATGCTAAACAAATTTTTTCAGACACTGCACCAAAAAAAAAACAAGTACTGATTCAAGTCGACGTCGGTTTGATTCTAACCGATTTTTGGCTTGATTCAAAACAAGCGACTGGGACCACGCCAATCCGGGTCTGATATAAGTCGAAAAGTGGTTTATTTGAAGTAGAAACATGTCAAGCCGATATCGATCTGAATCAAGGCGAAAAATCGGTCTGAATCAAACCGAAAAATCGGCTTGAATCAAACCGAAAAACGGAGTGATTCGCGTCGAAATTCTGCCTGTGGAAGATAGCGACTTGATTCTAGACGATTTTTCGGTTTGATTCAAACCGATTTTTTGGTTTGATTCAGGCTGATTTTTCGGTTTGATTCAGACCGATTTTTCGGCCTGATTCAGACCGACTTTTTTGGGTGTGATTTGAATGGAAATTTAGACATTCGTTTGACTCAAGTATGCTTGTTACTGATGAAATAGTATATTTCGTAACGAGTGCAAAAAAGTGTTTTTTTCACGAGTTACGAACAATATTTTTCATCACAATGTGGCGGAAATTAGACTTTTAGGCACGCGGAGCGTGCCGAAAAGTTCACTTTTCGTCACAGCGTGATGAAAAAATATTTTATCAGTGTAATGTCTGAATGTTTGGACAGACGTTAAACTATGAATTTTCAATGACCGAATTGAAATTATGAATTTTCAATGACTAAATCCCCTGAAATTTCAGTGGAAATGTAATTTATTAGAAATTTCCAAGAAGCTTACCGGAAATTTCCGTGAAAAATTTTCAACAGTGAGCTTCAACTCCCCAGTGCCACCTCTTCCGACTGAATTATTCCTTCATGATGCCCAAAAATAAAACAAATTGCTCCATAGATTATTTTTAGCTTACATTTCGACCTGTTCCACCCCATTTGAACGCCCATCCGAATAATCTATGCCCACGCGAACAGATACACACCACATTCCGTGCAACCGACCCGCTTATTTACGCCGGTCGAATACATATTATTTGACGTACCATCAACCCCAAAGCATATCATGTAAATATTAATCAAACGACTTCGTAGATTCATCAACCGAAAATTCCCCGCAGACGTCACTTCGCCCTATCTGCCTACGTCCGTCGAAGCAATGAGCACGAAACTCAGTCTATCGAACCGTAAACACCGATACGATACTTTGAAAATTGCTCCCTTCAAATTCATTCACAATCCAACTTTATGTTCACCCAAAAGTTTCAACTTCATCGACAGTACACCTGTGACGCTGAATGCTCGCATACCCATTATGTACTCGCGACTGGATAACCCATTAAAATGAGTGACTAATGGCGTTTTAACTCATCACGCGATTATAAACATACGCAAATGTTTATTATGTGAATCTCATTGAATTATCCAGCGTAAAATAGTCTCCGGTCAGTCCATTTGCTCAGCCCTTTCAATAAACACATTTGCATGCGATGATTGAATATATACGCATGTGGAAAAATGTTGGGATAATATTGACGTAGTCTTATGATCACTAACCAGTACTCGTGAACTTCGTAGTCAAGTATTTTGCTCTATTTTCCCTTTTCACTTCACGATTAGCCAAGCATGATCCAATCAGCTTTACCTTCTCGTTCTAAGTACGGATCTTCTCCAACGTACTGCAATTTCTACTTGGTACACTGATTGTGAGAGAACATTTTTTTCGAAGAGTACGTCTTCACTTGTATGAAGAAGCTCATGGCTGGAAAATTGACAAGAAAAAATATCTTACGCTGAGGAAAAATACTTTTGTCAAGAGATTTTGTAGTTACTTCAAAGACGAGGATAATTTGTAGACGAAGATAATTTGAGGAGGATTTGTTTATAACAAGAATGTAATTTCTCGAATCAAGTCTAGTCGAATCAATTTATTCAATAGTTTTTTAATCTCAAATCCAGAATATTTTAGTGCAAAAACCACCTGACTTGATTTGAGACGTCGCTTTGTGTCAACCAATTGCCTCTCATCCTTCAGACAATTACAAAATCTCTTGGCTAAAGTTTTATTTTTCAGTGTAAGATATTTTTTCTACGCTTGTGCGTAAAGTGAAATTTTACAAAATAATTCCACTTTCCACAAATTGTGAGGAAAAATTGAGTTCGACACTCGTGGGAAAAGTGTTCTTTGACCCTAGGGAGGGTAGCACTCGCCTTCGGCGAGCGCTACACACCTCCCGCGGGTCAAACAATATCCCGAGTCGAGGATTTGGTTCTGATCGGACGTACACAGATCTTTCAAGATCTCTCCAGACCTAGATAGACCTGGTAAGTCCTAATCAGTAGTGATGCCGTCGAGATTACACGATAAAATTTTTGGATAGATCATCACGGTCAGAAAAAACATCGAAAATTTTGGAATCGTCGATATCTCGAAAACCATGGGATCGGTGCATCTCAAAATAAAATAAAATTTGAATTTTCACCCGCGGCAAGGGGGGGGGGGGGGGGTATTGGGATTTTTCCAGGCGGAGTCAACTTCCGGCAAACTCGAATTTTTACGCCAAGTGAACGTTGAATTCGTATCTACTGACGATTCTGAGGCCAATGAAACACTCAGAGGCGCCAGATATGTAGAAATAAAAAATTGGAATTTTCACCCGATGCAAAGGGGTATTGGGATTTTTTCAGGCGGAGTCGAAAAAATTCGACTTTCGGCAAACTCGAATTTTTACGTCAAGTGAATGTTAACCCGAATCCTCTTTTCTTCGCTTCCAAATGGAATTTTTGCAAATCGATCGATTTTGTGATTCACTATTTTCGTTGTTTTGTCATGCAACCTTCGAATAATTCACCAGTGAACCCTCTAGCGACATTCGAAATGATTTATTCCACATTTATGATCGTCCGATAGTCTTTTTCCATTTCCCCTTTGAAATCGAACAGCTGGCCACCACAGTGCATTCTCCTCCAAGGGAATTTTCATGAAAATTCCCTTGATCGAAATGTTCAACCAAGAGGAAGACGACCACAGAGTCGACAGTCAAAACAATAACCTATTATAGACCGACTCCATAGCAGAGGAAAACAAAGGTATTTGAAGGGCGTAAAGACCATACATATGCATAAACATTCACACCAACGTGTACACACTCACCCAACCCTTTCCCCCGACACTTGTCTCTCTATCCAAACCCAAAACCTCCGAAAGTCTCTTTACGCGATAAGATTTTTTGTTCCCACATTTCCACAGTTTTTCACCCTTCGTCGCCCTTTGCCTTCCTCTCTCTCTCTCCCTCTCTCTATTTCAACACGTCTTTTGTAGCTCAGCATAGCGAACAAAAGACTCTTTTCGTCGATGCGTGTTCACTCATTCATCCAGGCTTCCGCCATCACTCACTCATTTTTTTATTCTTCTTTGCCACGTTCGCTTCGCCGACGTCTAAAGGCACGTCGGATCCGATTCACCACCTATGGTGGTGACCAAAGCCACCGGATACCAGTCCGGATATAGGCCCCGAGTGACATGACAGCACGTATCACCTCTGATTCTTCCTTTTTTGGGTATAAAGGAGATACAGGGAAAGGAGGGAGAGGCTCTAAAAATAGATCTTCATGCTTACTTGAGCATTGAAGGTGGTGAACGAACTCCCGGGAAATTGACCAGTCTGGACATGACCCCGAGAGGGGAGGGGATCGTTGATTATTACTCGCAATTGCTGGTTTAATTACGCAAGTGTTTATGGACGGTTTATTATTGTGTCAGAGTGGAACGCGCGCTTCACGCTAGATTTATCGCTGTTTCACCCTCGTTTCGACAATGGGATCTCGCACCTTATTGCGCGTACAACGTGAGATGAATTTGCATGAGAGTTATGGGGGTTTTTAGATACGGAGGGATGAAAAATTCTCTCGATCTCGGAATATTGTTCATAATTCATGAGAAATCCGGGGTGTAAACATATTCATAATTTCCCGAACGGTTTATGGAGAGAAATTTTTATGAAAAATTAGCCCTCATTCTGGTAACGATTCTGGGGATAAGATAGTATCGATTTTTACGAATATGTCACTGTTTTTCTGGAATATGTAATGGGTGTTGAAGAATATATGACCAATTTTTAGGGATACTGGGCACTAACTAGAATAATCCATAACATAAATGATTTTTATACATTCCAAAAATTAAAAAATGGCTCCCTGAAAATCAGTGACATGTCTCTGAAATTGAACGACATCACACTGAGAGAAAAATCTGAAGTTCGATTTACAATACGAAAATAGTTGAGGCATTTTGGTGAAAGATACGATTTTTTTTGTATGCGCCACATAACATTATGGTAACTTCACAAGCGTAATTTTTGCAATTTAAAATGCAGTTAAACTAACCAAAGTTCAACAGCAACCACGACAAATCTATCGTGAGTAGAACTATAAAATAGTTGCAATGACTACATTCCATTGTAGTAATTACTTCTCCGGCCATATAGTTACCGTAACCGATGAAAAATTGTTGAGGACTTTTTGACTATAATTCGATGGTGATGGAATATAGTCAGAAGAATTATATTTTTCTCTCAGTGCACTAGAAATTAGTGACAAATCACTGAATTTCAAAATTTTGCACTCGTTGAATGTTACAATGCCAATCGCAAAAAACTGGGAATAGATTTCTCAAAGTTACGCTGATGATAGAAAGGATTATTTATTGTTAACGAATGGATTTAGTTGGAGGCTAGGGTCTATTCAGCCTCACCAAATGTTCATTCGATAATAGTAACCAAATGCATATTTGGGGAGCCTTGTTTGAATCGACTTTCACCTTTCAAGTGAACCATTCGTTAACTATTAACGAATATTTATTTGGTCATGTTCAACTCTACCAATCGTTAATAGTTAACGAATCTCGTTTGGAATAAATGAATCATTCTACCAGTGTAGGGATTGGAAAATCCAATTTTTTTTCTCTGTAGCATAGGATACTGACGACGATATTTCTCTGGTTGAGTTACTTTCCATAATTTTGGAAATAGTCAATTTTAAAAAGAGAATCATTCACATTTTCTTGAATCGATACCATGTATCGACCCCATACATGAACGGTTAATAAGAAAAACCTTGCGTAAGGAACATTTTACGTTTCGTCCCGTAAAGAAATCATTCCTGTGGGAGGAAAAATTATGGTTTTTCAATCATCCAAATGTACGGAGAGAAATTCTTTAGAAGAATTCTAGTGCTGTGCAGGTAAAATTTCTATATGCGTCCAGTAAAATTTTTGGATATCTCCACAGCAAAAACGAATGTCTGAATTTCACACACCTTTTGGAGATATTTTTCAGACAGTAAAAAATGACTGAAGAAAATGAAGATTTGTTTGAATTTGAAACATGAACTGAGATGTTTAGGCACCTATTCGTGTAAAATTCGGACAAATTTTCATTTTATTCAGACGTTTTTTAGCGTCTGAAAAATGTCTATAAAACATGTGTGAAGTTCAGACATTCGTTTTTGTCGTCTGTGAAAATTTTCTATCAATAACAAAAAATACACGTGTGCCTAATGAAATTTTCAGTGCTAGCACTAGAATTTTTCTCAAAAATTTCCCTCCGTTTCGACTAAAAAAGCGTAAAACCTGATTTCGCTCTTCAATTTCAGTTCCAATAAATTTCCTCAACTGTTTCCGCTTCGTGAGTCCCTTCTCCTCTCGTAAAATTCACATATTAATGTGGTAATTCACCCGATCTCATCAACATCAATATGGTTAATTCGAAAAGTTCTCTCAGTTTGTGAGAGAACTCGTCCCACCACCAATGTTTCATTGAATTTCATTTTCCTTGCAGAGAGACACTTGGAACCGCCTGTGAACGCCGTGGTCTCGATCTGTCGAAAGTCGACGTCTACCTGGATGCTTTCTCAACGCCTCTGCCAATTTTAACTACCGAAACTTCGTGCTTGGGTGGCAGACATCTGCGAGTAACCGGTAATTGTCAGAGAAGATTAATGTGTCAATTTCTAATGGTTCAAGAGCGGAAATCATTTCCATCTGCGAGTGCCGAGTTTTTGATGATGTTATCACGTCCAAATGAGTATGAGTATCTCGTAATTGAAGGATAAAGCCAAAATCTCCTCAAGAAAATTCTTTCATGTCCCTCAGCGTTGTTAGAAAAAAATCGAAATTGAAATATCTGACGATTTTGAAGGTCTCGAGGTATTACTTCTGATAATTTTTTCTTATTAAACGGTTAAGGATATCCAAGTATCTTTGACAGTTTCGTACTTTTCAATTTCGTACTTTTCAATTTCGTAATTTTCAATCATCAACTTTGTCAATAAAATTGCGTGAGAAAAATTTGAAAAAAAAAAATTTGCACAGAATTGAGATTGGTTGTTTATAAATAAATAATTGAAATTGTTCAAACTTTTGGAAACCTAATTTTTTTAAGCATGAAATCAATTTCTAGTAGAATTCTGAATATGAATAAATTTGTGATAATTCCAAACAAATAATATTTATGATGGGAAATTGATTGTTTATAAAATATTTATAGACAATGCCTCTAATTTTCAAAAATAGCAATTTTTAGATTATTTCATCAATACTCTTCCAAAAGTAAACTTTCTATTTCTTTTCTGATTTTTAAAATGTTTTCTAACAGTTCAATATCGAGAATCAAATTCATACCTGCGAAGTTTACATAATAAATTAATTGTAAAATGTCCGGAAACTTAACTATCTATCAAGATGGTGGCATAAAACGCATTTAAATAATTAAATTATTGATATCTATTGACTGCATAACTGTATTTCGTGCTAACTTACAAATTCGATTTCAGTACATGAAACACATAAAATATGTAAGATGACTTTCATACCGGAATCAAGTACTGAATGAAGTGAAAATTGACACCGCCATAGTGTCAGTGCAAACATAGTAATGAACACAGTTTGGTGTTAGAAATAAAAATCCACTCTGCACTGAGAAAAAAAATTACCTTTGCCAAGTAAATTTACTAACTACAACACACGGAGAGAAATTTTTTAGAAAAATCTAATGCTAGCAGGGGAAAAGAGGCGCAAAGTGACGGCCAGGAAAAAATTCCAGTGCCGGCACTAGAAATTTTATTGGAGAAAACCTGAATTTTTGCCGATATTTCTGTGAAAATTTCACAGAAATCCCCGGAAATTTTACCAGAAATACCAGGAAATTTTACCTTAACAGCACTAGAATTTTTCACAGCTGGCGGATTATAATTTTTTCCAGTACTCGTACTAGAATCTTTCTAGATAATTTTTCTCCGTGAAGAAAATCCACACATTTCAAATGCAAATTTACATACATTTACTTGTGCAACTAAATTTACTTGGCAGAAGTATTTTTTTTTCTCCGTGTGTACCAGAAATTGACTCAGGGCTGAGAGTGAAGTGGACCGCCAAAAAGAGTTGACTTTACCACCGCAATCTTTAACCCCTCACACTAACGACATTAACACCAACTTTTTTTACTCTGTATTTCTCGAAAGCTCCGTTGCAAACAAATGAGTCAGGAGTGAATCCCCGAGATATTCATCAAAAACTCACGCTCAATTCAAGTTGACTCACTTCATTCCACCAATTCGCTCCTGAAATTCGCTCCCAGTTCATTGAATCATCAGATCTCCTTTAAGTTTGAAAGTCACTCAATTGATGACGTTATTACCGTTAACGATAGTTGCGGAAACATCTTGGCGACATGAATCCCTGGAGAAGATAAAGTTAAATTGGATACAAAAAAGTGTGATAATGGCAACGAGATTTTCTAGTTTTCACCACTCACTTGCTGGTAAAGCTAGCAGTAGCCAGAGGCAATATCGAGAAGTGGCTGAAACACTTCGTTATTCCGTGCTCCATTACATCCCCTTGACTTTGTGAAATTCTAATTGACAGATTTAATTATTCACGGGAACTTTCCTCCCGGCTATTTCAACACTTCCGCGTTTAGAACGTATTCCTGATCACGCTCCCGACTGAATTTCCCTTTTCGTCATTTCCCACAGAGAACACTCTACATATTTCTTGAGTCAATACAGAATTCCGGGAACTCTATTTCGTGGATAGAGAGAGGGGGGGGGGGGGATCGATCAAGAGAGTCAGCTTGTTTCTGTACGTGATATTGCCCTCGGGAAACACACAATTGACGTTGAGAAAGCCGATCGTTGACCGTATGCATTCACGTAATTGACTTCACCGAGGATTGTGTCACAGACAATGGCCCTGTGTCGGGTATTCCCATTTATCGATTGACATTCAATGTTTAATACAAACAGAGAAGAGATGAGAGGGATCGAGGAGATGAGTGACAATATCAATCGACAAAAAAATTGACAATAACTGTGTCAAAGAAACATTTTCAAATGCTTTTGAAGGAAATCTCCAGTGATATTTGAATATTTAACACGGCGAGCTTTTCTTCCTTGAGAAATATTTATGATTTCTTGAGGACTCTATAAGATTGCACGCTGTTGGATTTTTGTTTTATTTCGTGGAAGATATTATAGTAAATCTCATGAGAGTGACATTGAATCGGATTTAGGGAAAAAATGGTTATGAAATTTCAAGTTTTAAGTAGAATTCACGGAAATTCATGAGTTTTCAGTGGAAGTGAGAGGGAAATTTCACAACTTGATTGAATTTTCAGGGGAACATGAGTATTCAGAAACAAAATGACATGAATTTTCTTTTTTTTTTCTAAATTTTTCTGACTTGTCTGAATTTTCACAGAATAATTGAACTGAAAAATCAAGTATTTTGTTGATTTCCAGATCATTTGAACAGAAAATCAATGGAATATTTGATTTTTTATTTTTTTTATTTTGCATGAAGTTTTTCTCCGTAGTACATATGTTCCGTACGGAAATTTTCAATTCTTTTTATTTTTTTTATATTTATATACCTTTTCAGGAATACGTAAAAATTTGACTCGAAAAATCGCAGGGATAAAAAGAGAAGAGACTTTCTCAAGAAATTGGAGAGTTATCCCTGGCAGTTATCCCTGGAGTTATTTCTGGCAGAAATTTCCGCTGCAATTCTTGAAAGTTTTTATCCATTGACAGCTGCACTGAAATTTCAAAGAATGTCGTGTTTGAAAATTAACAATTTGATGAGAAAATTGATGGAAACTGTAATTTTCAATTCAATTACCCCATGAAAATTATAAGGAATCAAAAAATTGATATAATATCCTTGAATTGTCAATGAATTAAGAATTTAGCATTATTTGGTTGCCAAAATTCACAATTTTTCATCATTCAAAATTTGAAATTTAATTATTTTTTCTCTCTAAGTTGAATGCAATGTCACTCTCCTGAAAATGACTACTGAACTGTCCATAAACCTTCAATTCTTCTAACGCTGATACTGCGCTCTGATTGGCTGACATAAAAAAATCGAGAAATATTCACAACAATTTTGATAAAAAACGAATGAGTGGCCAGTACATTACACGATTGCTCAAATTCCGATAAAATTGAAAACAGAAATAGTTTCAAGCATCTACTACCGACGATTGAAATTCGAATTTTCATTCAGCCTCGGGGAAACATTCTTTATATTTTCCGCCTGAATATCCGAAGAAAATGGCATTGACAGACCTATGAACAGGCGAGATATACATACAGGCTGAATCGCCACGCTTGAACATTCCAACGCAGTGGGATGGAGCTTATGGAACTCGAGAATTTCGCAAGGCGAGCGTACTCACCCCACGGTGGAACTCGAAGCTCCCGCTCCCTCTATCACCCACCCGTTTTGTGTCTAGCCCTTCAGCTCCCGATGACGCATGATCCCGCAAATATACATTCCTAGTTGATGGGAGGAGAGAGGCTAAACAGATAAATCATCGTCTTTAAGGTATATCCCAAGACGACAGCACCCAAAAGTTAGTTCCTACGGACTTTCGGAAAAAATTCTAAATGACTCAATTTATTGCATTCTCAAAAGTTATTGAGTTTTTGAATGCTCATATGTTGTCGACGCAGGCAACCATAACTATTTGAATCAAACAAGAAATTATTTCAGTAGCAAAACAGTTGGAAGTGGTAAAACGGTTTAAGTCGACTTATCTCCCAGTTGAGTTTTTGAGGAATACTTCCGAATCTAAAGCAGATGACGAAATTTTCGTAATGACATTTGTTGTAGCTCTCAATCGGCTCTATAAAAGAGGTTTTAAAGAATATTTTGCTATCTCCCTTAGATTCTGAGATATTCATTGAAAACTGGTCATTAGTCAAAATTGACTTGTACCGTTTTACCACTTCGCTCCTGATTTGTTACTTAATTGTTTAAATCAAATAAGAAATGCTTTCTCAAAATTTCCATTTTTTAGAGTTGAACATTGCAGAAACTGTTCGAATGATCTGCAATTGATAAAATGTTTGATTTTCAGTTCAACCATTCTGTGAAAATTCGGAAAATCATGAAAATTGAGGGAAAAATTAAAGATTCATGTCATGTTGTTTCTGAATAGTCATGTTTCATTGAAAATTCAGTCAAGTTGTGAAATTTCCGCCTCACTCCCCCGAAAACTCGTGAATTTTCTTGAATTCTATCTAAAACTCGAAATTTCATAACCATTTTTCGTTTAAATCGGATTCAATATTACTCTCATGAGAATTCCTACCCTATTTTCCATGAAATTTCGAAAAATTTCTACCAGCGTAGAGAGATTGCAGTTTCTATCAGAATTCTACACGGAGAGAAATGTTCAGTAAAAATTATGGAACTCACAACTCGCTGACCGATTACGGAATCGACTCAGAAAATTTAGATAAGTGACGGTATCGTAATTCTTCCGAGGAGATTCCGATAAAAATTACGGAACGCTCTGGAAAAATTCTGTGACAGTTTCGTAAAATTTCCTACAACCACATTTCACACCGTAATTACGGAAAAGATACGTAATTTTTATTGAATATTTCTCTCCGTGTATGCAAAATCCCTGAAAGGACAATACGCCACACAATTCTCTCACAAAATTCTCTAAAAAAACTAAAAACATTTCAAGTTATGGAATACTCCCTGCGTAACTGTGGAATATACTTGGATACTGTTCACATAAATATTATGAGACATTGTCACGTTTAAGGATCGCGTGACAGTGGGGTGACATCCATGCTTTATGTTATCTAGTTACAATAAAAAAACCGTGGTGATGAAAAAAAGAATGAACTTACACGAACGCATCGAACATTTTAATCTTCTTTTTATGCTTTTTTTTAAATCCACGTTTTACTATCTCTAGTACTTTTTTCGTTAACGTGAGTTTTTTTCACTTTTAATTACAGCGAAGGATGAAAAAACTGCTTCACGCACTTCGAGCCAGAAGAGCAGTCAGAATGTGTCGTTACGGAAGAGTGGAGTAAGTAATTTCACTTCATACTATTTATCACTCTTCACGTTTTATGACATCGTTACGAGGTTTTTTACAGGAGAATGAAAGTGTAGGAATACAGGTGCATGTAATTCACACATCACTTCAGAAGATATCTATCACCTTAATATATTTTCACTTTTCCTCATTGAAATAATATCACAGGAAGGTGCAAGAACCGTGAGGGCGATGAATGAAAAGTATCTCACCACATTTTATTACATTTTTGGTCTAATTAAAAATCTCCCCCCAACAAAATTATAATTTTCAAATGAATAATTCTAGTTTTAACAATTTTTTAATATTTGAAAATATGATGGAGTTCAATGTTTTTAATTCAGAACTATATCGTGATAAATAGCGAGCAAAAAAATCTTGCAAATATATAAAAATTTTACTTATGTTAACAAAACTTGTCATAAAAATTGGACAGAATAGATCTGATCCTCAGTAATTTTCGCTTAAACTTTCCTTATTTTTTAACAAATTCGGATATTGATCGCGTCACTTTGAAAAGTGGAACTCATCAATTTTTCACTTATTATTCATCTTTATCATTGATTGAGTTTTTTTCACATGCATCATTAACTATTATAATGCATGTATGAGTACATGAACTTTAATACATTTGAAATTTAAATGAAGGCAAGGAAGCTGCTTACAAGTAAATGAGGTGATAGATCAGCGTGAATTCCACAAGACTGATAATAATAATAAACAAAAAGAATTTACAACTTATGGAATTGTGAAAATTGTTTCAAGTTTATAGAATTTCTACAAACTCAGATTCCTGAGGAAAAATCTCACGGAAAATAGCATTTTTCATTTTTTTTTCTCGAAAATCGGAAAAGTTTTTTTCCCAGGGTGAACCTCCCCTCAACGTTATCCCTGTCGAATGTTCTCATTTCAAGATGCAAATGTTCTTATTCAGAAAACTCACCTGTTTTTATTTTAAGAATACAGTGTTAAAAAAATTTAACTGAATTTTCCAGAAAATGTCACTGAATTCAATTTAACAGAAAAAAGTCTGTGAAACTTCAAGTTTCCTTGAAAATTCAAGGAAATTCCTGATTTTTCAGTGGAAGAACAATGAAGATTCCGAAATTTCCATGAATTGTCAATGTAAACATGATAATTCAATAAGAAATTGGTCTGAAACTTCAAAAAATGGAAAATTCAAGAAAATTTTTGCTTGAATTTTCCTAATTTCCATTAATTTTCGTAGAAAAATTCCCCGAAATTTCAATGAAACCGTCACTTGTTTCATATTTCAAGACTAAAGCGTGGAAACTTCAGTAAAAATTGTTTAACAGTGTATGCTAAAAATACGTAGGTTTTTCATCCTCAATGTTCGACAGTTTTCTTCTGAAATAAAGTAGTTTCTTATTCTACGAGCGATACATGTTAGAACGTTACCTCTCTGAAATCTATACCTTTATTTTACCGCATTACTTCAGAATCCAAGAACAATATTCTGAGCTCAGCGAAATTTAGTTCTCCATTCACTGATGATACCCCAGTCCCGCCCTCACGAGATTAAATAACCGTTCCAATTTCCGGAAACCAGAGTTATCGCGGTAGAAGTGGACGTTTCTTCAGCGTTTCAACCGAGGACTCGAGTATGGATTCAGAAATGGGACCAGCAGTGTCACTCGTTGCTGGCAAGACTCCTGCTGGGGCTGCAGGAATCAAAGCCAGCAAGCAACGTTGGAGTGGCTTTTTCACCAATACCAAAGGAACGAGAATGGAATTGCTCGTTGAGCAGCTCAATAGCTACACACAGCACGGTGTACCCTGTCTTCCAGAGATACAACTGCCTTACGATCACGTATCGAACGAAGAAGGTTGTTCATTCTTATGATATTCAAAAGGTGTTGGTAGACTATACGGTCCCTTTCTCAATATAAATGTTATATTTGGGAATTTTTGGGATCCAATGCCAGCCACGTCCGCGTCGTGGGCCCTGGGTAACGCCAAGAGCTGGTAAGGCTCGTAATTCGATGCTTTACCATGCTCGGGAATTTAGAAAGTGACTATCTTTAAATTTATTTATTAAAATAAATTTGCCTTATGAAGGAAGGTGGCGAAATGGGAGGTCTCGTACACCTACCCGGCCACTTATATAATTATGTAAAGTGTTCCGAAGAGTCCTAAATTCACCTCTGGCAACCCACTCCCCATGTGACAATTTCTAGCAGGGTATCTGGCACGGGTACGTATTGTCTATCAAAACCATTCAAAATGTACATTATATTATTCATGGACATTTTCAACCCATTCCACTTTATCGTTAAATCCCTCCATATGCTGAACCGTTGCACGCCCATCGCACAGGAAGATTTTCCACCAGTCAAGGGTAAATCGATCGACCCCTTGAACACTCCATTGCATATAATACCGTACACGGTATCGTGGTCTCGCCTTCCCTATTTTTTCTGTCTCTTCTCTCTCTCCACTTCAGCAAATACGTTCTTAAAGCGAACAGGAATTGCCAGTAGATGATATGCGAGTATATAACTCCGGAAAACCACCCCTCAAGGATGAAGCAAAAAATTTCAAACCCACGAAGGGGATGTCGAATATATAGGACGCTTACCTCTGCATCAGGGACCGGCAAAATTGTTATCAAGTAATCTTAAAAGAAGTTTACCATGGATTAATTAAAGTTCACTACATCTTTATTCAAATTTTAAAATTATTTTTCATTCTCAGTTATAATTAAACAATTAATTCTAATCATCTGAATTTGATTTTGCAATTAAGCTAATAATCATCATTTTTGTCAAGTTGATTACTGATTTATAAAATATTTGAAAAACTGAACAATACAGTTACCTGATTTTGTATGCAATAAAATAACTTTAATTCTGGATTATGATCTTGGCTATCTCTGCTCTGCATGTGACACAGAAAGAAATTTCATCATATCGAATGTAATTGTCATTATCAAAAATAGATAGTGAAAAACGTTGGAAAAAGTCGGTAAATTCAATTTCACGATTAAACAAACATACGCCTCTTTGGTTTTGAAGAAAAAAAACTAAAAATGATGGCACTTACGCCCCGTTAGCTGTAAGGCGACATAACGTTTCATAACTCACTGGAGAAAAACAAGCCTCCCTTAGTGTTTTTGAATTATGAGTGAAATTCACGAAGGGGATACGGAATATATAGGACGCTTATCTCTGCATCAGGGATCGGCAAAGATTGTTACTTAGTAATTTTAAAGGAAGTTTACCATAGATTCATCAAAGTTCACTACTTTTTTATTTAAATTTGAAAATTATTTTTCATTTTCAATTATAATTAATTAATTCTAAATATCTGAATTTGATTTTTGAATTAAGTTAATAATCATCATTCTTGCGAAGTTGATTACTGATTCATAAAATATTTGAAAAATTGTACAATACAGTTACCTGATTTTGTATACAATAAAATAACTTTAATTCTGGATTATGATTTTGCCTATCTCTGCTCTGCATGTGACACAGAAAGAAATTTCATCATATCGAATGTAATTGTCATTATCAAAAATAGATAGTGAAAAACGTTGGAAAAAGTCGGTAAATTCAATTTCACGATTAAACAAACATACGCCTCTTTGGTTTTGAAGAAAAAAAACTAAAAATGATGGCACTTACGCCCCGTTAGCTGTAAGGCGACATAACGTTTCATAACTCACTGGAGAAAAACAAGCCTCCCTTAGTGTTTTTGAATTATGAGTGAAATTCACGAAGGGGATACCGAATATATAGGACGCTTATCTCTGCATCAGGGATCGGCAAAGATTGTTACTTAGTCATTTTAAAGGAAGTTTACCATAGATTCATCAAAGTTCACTACTTTTTTATTTAAATTTGAAAATTATTTTTCATTTTCAATTATAATTAATTAATTCTAAATATCTGAATTTGATTTTTGAATTAAGTTAATAATCATCATTTTTGCGAAGTTGAGTACTGATTCATAAAATATTTGAAAAATTGTACAATACAGTTACCTGATTTTGTATGCAATAAAATAACTTTAATTCTGGATTATGATCTTGGCTATCTCTGCTCTGCATGTGACATAGAAAGAAATTCCACCATTCCAAATGTACTTGTCATTATCAAAATTAATTGGTGAAAAACGTTGGAAAAAGTCGATAAATTCAATTTCACGATTTAAAAAAAATACGCCCCTTTGGTTTTAAAGAAAAAAAAACGCAATGATGGCACTTACGCCTCGTTGGCTATAAGGCGAAATGACGTTTCATAACTCACTGGAGAAAAACAAGTCTCTCAGTATTTTTGAATTATGATTGAAATTCCTCAGTCTGCTTCAAGGGTGCGAATGGACTATAGTCGCACCCATCGCACCGTCGCAATTGTTCTGGAGCTGAGCACAGTATTCTTCTCTTGAGAAATACTCTCAACAGAACTGTTCGGAATGACGTCATCGTCATTATATTCCCCGCTGAGTCGCCAATTTGCATCAGAATTTATGCTCCCAGGATGGGACAGAGAGCATTATTCAGAGTGTCTTTAGAATATCCCTCTCCCCCAGAAGCCCATTCCCATACTATTGCGATAGAATTTCGATGATTTGTCAACCCTCATGAATTGTGCATTTCTTCTCTCTTTGAATATCAGAATTGTACACACTCGAGGAGGATTGGCGAGACTTTGTCGACAATTGGGAGCGTTTAACTGAAAAACAACAGCAACAACAGACGGCACTTTGGGAGCTCGCTCAGACGGAGATTGCTTACATAAGAACTCTCAAAGTAGTAACAGACGTAAGTCATTCATTATTTAGTATTCCTCCGAATAGCCAATTTCTTTCAGGCTTCTCAATTGTTCTCGTGTATTGTTTTTCCAGTTATTCATGGCGTGCCTCTGCAGCCTGCAGGCATCCAACATATTGAACGAAGTTGATAGGAAAAAGTTATTCAGTAATATCCCCGACATTTACGCGGCAAATCGCTACTTCTGGAGTGAACATCTGCTGGGTATGGTAAATGCTGCAAGAAGTTCGGGAAGATCACTGGATCCAGGACATCTTCTACACGGATTTGAAACGTTCGAGCAGACATTTGCACCTTACACGCGATATTGCTCAGAGCAGAGTAAATGTCAACAATATTGCAGAGATCGGTTGAATGACAACGAATTATTTACAGCTTACTTAGTGGTGAGTTTTTTTAAAGAGAAAATTTAATATGTCTGGAAAATTTCAGGGTATCCAAGTACTTTGGATATTCTTTCTCCTCTGAGATTTAATTTAAGGTACTTCCGCAGTAAGTATACTTGGTGGAAATTTCGAAATGGTATAAAGACGCAATATTTGGATCATATGTTGTTGACCACATTAAAAAGATATTCCCAAAATTTCAAGTCCCTGGTCCACCCCATTTTTGAGATATGCGTCGCCAAACATTCAATTTTTGTGTTTTTTCCATTTTTGACGATGTATATCTCGAAAATGGGGTGGACAAGGTACTTGAAATTTTGGGAATAATTTTTGAATGTGCTCAACAACATATGATCCAAATATTGCGTCTTTATACCATTTCGAAATTTTCACCAAGTATACTTACTGCGGAAGTTCCTTAATTTAAAAACTGAAATTTGAACAATGAATTTCCTATCGTAAAAATCATTTGATGTTTGGAATAGGAACAAATTTATTCATGTTTCGAATTTGACCAAATATCGATTTCATGCCTGAACAAATATGGTTTCTGAAGGTTTAAACAATTTCAATTATTTATTCATAAACAACTAATATTTAAGCAAATAATAGTTCTGTGAAAAATGTAAATTGAATGAGGTTGAATATTAATTATTTTTTTCAAATTTTTCTCACGCAATTTAATTGATAAATTTGATGATTGAAAATGGTTGAATCGATAGTGTGCACTATATCAAGTGATAAAAAATATCCTTAAGGATATCAAGTACTTTGACTATTTTTTCTCCACTGAAATGCTTTTCTACTTTTGTAGCCGACCATCAGACCGTTACTTTGAACCCCATTTGACCCTAACCTTCCGGGCATTTCACAATAATTTTATTATTTAACCCTAGATTGGTCGCCATATGAGAAAAAGCCGGCCGCGCGTCCTTTTTCGTTAATGACAATTGACTGGCTAACCGGACAAATTCAAAAAAATTTGACTTTGTCAATTGAGGGGTCCAAAGAATTGTAGTAGTTTTTAGACCAACATATTTTCCGAAATTCCTAAAGAAAACAAATTATTTCGAACAGATAAATTATTTTTTTCCATGTTAAATGAAATTTCCTATCATCCGACGTTGCCGGAAACTCGCTAAATGCCCCCGGGCAGTGTAGAGTGAACTCGGCAACGCTAGAGTCTAAATAACACGGCGGGGAATCCCCGCAGCACCTCTGCGACTCTGGTCACCTACCAGTCTCTGGGCCGCGTTTGGGGACCAGGCTAGGGTTAAGCGTTTGTAGGCCTGATTTTGAATATCGATATGGATCCCTTAGAAAACATTTAAAAAATCGGAAAAAAATTAGAAAGTTTATTTTTGGAGGAAGATCGATGAAAGAATTAAAAAACTGCAATTTTTGAAAATTACCAGCATTTTCTATGAATAATTTATAAACAATAAATTTTCCACTATAAAAATGATTCGTTCGGGATAGTAATAAATGTATTCATATTCAGAATTTTACCAGAACATGATTTCATGCCTAAACAAATAAGCTTTCCGAATGTTTAAACAATTTCAATTATTTATTTACAAATAACGAATGTTTAAACAAATAATAATTCTGTGCAAAATGTAATTTAAATGATGATGAATATTCATGTTTTCCTTCAAATTTTTCACCCATAATTTAAACGACAAATTTGATGATTGAAAACGGTTGAATTTATATACTGTATATCTGTAGCCTGTACAAAACTGCAAAATATACGTGGATATCCTTAAGTAGCAGCTGCATGCGAATATTGAATGTGGTGAATTTAAATTCAATTTGGAATCAAATCGTTTTTGGAATTCACTTCAGAAATTCAACAGAATCGAATATTCCATGTTAAGTGATCATTCAAATTTCGACTCACTGTGAAAACTCAGCATTGAACTCAATTGAATTTTCAGTAGATTGGAAATTCATAATTATAATTGTCTGAATTTTCAAAATTTTTATTGCCGTATCGCACGTAGTGTACGCTGTAGTGTACCCTCAATACGACCCCATCTTCCCCTTTGTAATTGAAGTTACCGTATTGTTATTTTCGATGTCAGTTGTCTGGTTAAATTACTTTCCATACTTTTCGAAATAACCAACTTTATTAGAATTCATTCCCATTTCGATTAGTCGATACCACCTATCGACCCCGTACGTGAGGGGTTCAATAACTACTGCGTGTAAACCTTCCATGGATTGGATTAAATTCATTCAAATTTTTCGTTAGTCTTTTTCTACTACTGTAGTTAAACATCAAAGCTTCTATTCTATTTTGAAATGATGTTATTATTTCAACTTCGAAGACCTAAGTTTGATTCTTTATTCTGAACCCTTAGTTAACAATTGAGAAATTACGAAAAAAAATAAGAAACTTTATTTCTGAATTTTCGAATTGGAATCATTTTCAATCATTAAATTGACGTAACCTGTATTAATTAATCATTCGCTACTCGAAATTTTGAAGTTCTTTACTTGAAACTTCAAGAGTAATTCTCTAACCGAGTAGAAAATACTGGCGCAGACTTCGTCTTACCCCGAAGCTTAAAAGAAGACCTTGAAAATGGCAAAAAGTTATCCAAGTCCCCTCAAATATCTTCCCTGTCCTCATGCCTTCTTGATATATTTTTCAAGTGGTGCGAAACCCAAAAAGAATGCAATCGCTTGCGTCTCCTCGACATCCTCGTGAAACCAATGCAGAGGCTAACCAAGTACTCTCTCCTGCTCAAGGCTGTACATAAAAATACTGAGGACGAGGACCAGCGCAGCGAACTAATTCTCATGGTAAAATTAATTATTCAACCCCCATCACCACACAATCCATCAATAACTAATTAAAAATAAACTCAATTATCTTCACAGATAAAATGCGTGGATAATTTTGTAGCCTCGGTTAATGCTGCATTACGTAGAAGCGAGGAAACAGCTCGTTTAGTCAGTGCAGCCACTCGACTCGAGTGTTATGACGTAGTGGAGTCCAGGGACGAGGAGCTAGAAAAATTGATAAAGCAGCACAGTAATCTTGATATAACAACAGCCCCGATGCCGGGTTGCCCGAAGGACGCATTAAGAACACTACTGCGTGAAGGGGATTTGAAATTGCGAGATGCAGCAACTAGCAAAGTGAGCTGAATTATCATTTAAATCCTTTGGATTCTCAGGGGCCCGGTGAAAACATACGATAGCACCTCATTCCCTTGAAATTAAACCGTTTATCTCCGCTTTCAGATGGAGGTGCATGTTCTGCTCATGACAGACATGCTTCTGCTGTGTAAGCCGTCAACCAAGAAAGGCTCAGCTAGCAGCGGCTCGGGGGGTACGGCAGGCGCTTTGAAAGTCATCAGACAACCTTATGTCGTTGATCGCATACGTATTTATGAGCTGAAGGAGTCGTCCAGTTTGGGGTTGGTGTATTTGAATGAGTATGGGGTCGCCTCCGCTGCTCTGGTGCTGACATCGAGTGAACCTAAGCTGGCTAAGGTGAACCTTTAGTATTTTGTTGAAATTCTTACTAAATGTTGGGGGAAATTTCTCGGAAAAAATTGGAAATTGTTGGTAATTGTGATTATTTCCATTACTATGAGATCAATCGCGAAGTGGATACAATTAGTTTTCGTGCACCGCTTAACGAAAGGAAAAATGTGGAATTTGATATTCAGCTGTAGAATGCTTGAACATATCAGTTTGGCTATTATTCCCTCCAACTTTTGTGTTTTGAAAAATGTGATGATCACAGTTATTCATAAAAATCGTTCTTAATTTTGAACACTAGTACCCTTTCAATTATCTTGTAAATCTTCCTTGCGAGGTGAACTCAATTCCTTTCGATTTTCCAAAGTTCTCTAAAGGTTCAAAATAGAGATTTATCCAAGTTCATATATCGAAAAGTTTGAATTATGAAACCTATAATAGTAGCTCTGATATTGAACTATAAATGTTGGAAAGTCCTTTCATCAATTTTCAAAAAAGTTGAATATCCTCAAGATCAAAAGAGTTCATCAATTTTTTGGATTGATGTTAAAAATTAGATATCTTCGAATAAAATTCGAATAATAGTTTGAATTCCAGGAGAATCACGAGTTGAACATAATATGGGCTCAAACTTCTCCGATTTCTAAGCATTTGTACCCATCAAATTAAAATTTTAGTTTTCAGATGTCCTATTTATAATAAAAAGATGACCAAAATGTGTCACGCGTTCATTTTTTTGGAATTTGTTTGCGTTTTCTATCTTTTCTATAATAAAGGGAAGATGGCCAAAGTGTATCACGCGTATATTTTCTTCTCTTTTCTCTATAATAACAAGAAGACCAGTAAGAATATTTCGCATTCTCCACTGAAATTGTTCGATATCTTCTTCTTCTAGTCCTGATGGCTTTATCCCCGCACTGTGGTAGGGGCAAGCGCCAAAAATTGTTCGATATTCAGTTCGAAATATTTTGGTATCAATTATTCAATGTCCATCTTCCCGATTGATATGAATTTTATTAGAATGGAGAATTATAATATATTGACAATGAGAATGATGAATCGTTTGATCGATCTATCATGTCGATATGCGCATTTGATCTCGTCTACTAAAATATCATAGAAATGACTTCTGTAATTCGAGGTAAAGTCATCTCTCAGACCAATTATCGCATCATATGCATTTGTACTAGACAATTGGAATCGCGATCGTATTAAACTCATTATGTCATGCACATTGAGGCCGTAGGGTGGGATTACTAATAAGATTAAACGAAAACAGCCCTCAAAGTCATGAATACAGATGAATTTCAAATTAACTTAAAAAATCGTACTGATCGCAGTCGTGGATGGAGTCCTTGAAGCTACAACAACTGGGTGAATTGCCGACATTTCAGTTCGAAATGTTGCGCAAAAATTCATATCAATTATTCAATGTCCATCTTCCTGATTAATGTGAATTTTATTAGAATGAAGAATTGTATTATATTCCCAATGAGAATGATGAATCGTTTGATCGATCTATCATGTCGATATGCGCATTTGATCTCGTCTACTAAAATATCATAGAAATGGCTTCTGTAATTCGAGGTAAAGTCATCTCTCAGACCAATTATCGCATGTTATGGATTTGTACTAGGCAATTGGAATCGCGATCGTATTAAACTCATTATGTTATGCACATTGAGGCCCTGGAGTGGGATTACTAATAAGATTAAACGAAAACAGCCCTCATAGTCATGAATACAGATGAATTCCAAATTAACTTAAAAAATCGTACTGATCGCAGTCGTGGATGGAGTCCTTGAGGAAGGCGCAGCAGCAATTTGTGACGATGAAGCTACGACCAGTGGGTGAAGTGCCGACCGTGGGGGCTGTGAGCAGACAAGCAAGCACGTATTTGGGTGATGGTGACTACGACATTGAGGACTGTGACGTTTTACCGAGAACACCCCGTGGGAGCAGTAGAGCATCGCGAGTTAGCAGTCTTGCCCACAGTCACAGGTAAATTCGTTTTTTTCTCATCCTACGGGAATGACAATAAAACTTAAATTACCCCAGTGCCATCAATTTCCTAGGGAAATCGATGGCGTATTTGTGGGAATTTAACGAACACGAATTGAATTCAATTGACAGTGACTTTGACGCTTTATTTAGTGGTAGCATGGAGATGGAGGGTGTATCACCGGGCGGTTCTAGCTTTCTACCGAGTTACAATGCAAGCAGAAATGTTAGCGTCGATGCTGAACAACCGAGGGCGTCTAGTGTATCTTCGGAGGAGGGTACGGAAGTCGGATTAGGACATAATCATCGACCGCTGCAGATGAGGTGATTATTCAGCAACTAGTTAGCAGTTGCATTCCGTGTAATATTCGATGAATGCGTAATTAGTGGCGGATTGAATTAAAGTTGTTGAAGCCAAATGCAGTAATTAGCCAGTTTGTGTTTCACAATACTAATTAACATCATTCCTATTGACTGAATAGAGTGAATCATTCAGTGTTCGAACTCACTCGACGATTCGTTATAAAAGAGACGGTTAGTTCGCTGAAATTTAACTTTATTCCTCTTTACGAGACAGTTTTACTTTCATTGATTCTACGATAGCTTGTCCAATCTCTTGGTAATTGAGGTATCATTGAATTTCTTCGTTTGAATACAGGAGGGCTCGCGCTTTTCAAGTAATCCTTTTGAAGAAATTGGAGAATACGCTACCATTTGACTTTTCTACCTGAGTTAACAACCATTTAATTGACTATCTGAACTTAGTATTGAATATTCATGTTTTGATTGAAAATTCAACTAATTCGGGGGATTCTCAACTTTCTGCTGCTCAATAAGTCGGAATTCCATTGAATTTTCAATTAAATTTAAAATTTCATGTTGATCCTTCCTCCTTCCACCCNCCCAAAAGCGAACTCAATGTCACCCTGAAAATGACTAGAAAATTGTTTATGGATTTCCAATTTTCAGATTTATACGATAAACGAAAATGATTGCAAATTAGAAAGATTAGGCAACTAGGTATTCCTGTAAATTGTCAATCTATTGAAAATTCAGCTTTCTTAATGAGTTTAAAAAACAAGCCGTCGAAATGTCATTGATTGCTTAATATGAAAAAAAAATTGAATTTTGTTGAGTCTCAAAGATGAATGAAAAATTCCACATTCGTGTTTTGATTGAAAATTCAGTACTGAATATTCATGTTTTGATTGAAAATTCAACTAATTCAGGGAATTCTCGACTTTCTGCTGCTCAACAATTTGGAATTCCATTGAATGTTCAATTAAATTTTATGATTGCCCCTTCCTCCCTCCTCCCCTAAACTCAACATCCTTGAAAATGACTAGCCAATTGTTTATGAAATTCCGATTTTTTCCATCAGCGCATTGACGAATCAGTCAATTTCAGGAATATTCAATGCAATTGCAATTTACAGATGTACAGTCGAGCACTAAAGTTTGTAAACAGAATACATAGAATGCAAGTTCAGGCTGTTCACGAACTTTAGTGCTCGACTGTATGTGAGAAACGAAAATGATTGAAAATTGCAAAGATTCAGGCAACTAGGTATTTCTGTAAATTGTCAATCTATTGAAAATTCAGTTTTATTAATGAGTTTAAAAACCAAGCAGCCGTCGAAATGTCATTGATTGCTTAACATGAAAAAAAAAGAATTTTGTTGAGTCTCCAAGATGAATGAAAAATCCCATAAACAGTTTAAACTTAAGTTGAATTCACATTCATTCCTAACAGTGTACTTGATACTTGAAATATCATAGGATTTCTTATTTTGGATACAGGAGGATTCACGCTATTTGACTAATCCTTTCAAATAAATTGCAAAATATGTAACAGTTTTTCTTGTCTATCTATGTAACAACCCCCTTATTAGCTATCTGAACTTAGTACTGAATATTCATATTTCGATTGGGAATTCGAATAAGTTGGGGAGTTCTTGTCTTTCTACCGTTCAAAACTTTAGAATCCTGTTGAATTTTCCCGATAGCTTCGTTGCAAATAAATGAGGATGTCCAAGTATTTTTTTGCAAAACTTAGCCCGATCCTCTGTTTCCAGGGGAGCTTGGGGAAATACCCGATTAATTTTGAAGCTCGAGGGGTATTTGTCGGATTAATTTTCCCAATCGGATTTTGGTGAATCAAAATGCAGTAGACAACATCAGGAGGTAAATTAGGGAAGATTTGGACAAATTATGTTATTAGAATAACCCAATTTTCGTAGGCTACCAAATACAAGATTTGATCTGAAATGAGCCGAAAAAATGAAAAGTTACTGCGAAATATTCACTTGTAATACCACAAGAGTTTCAAAATTATGGGGTATTTTCCGATAGGTTCATTGCAAACAAACGAAGGAGTCAAGTTCTTCAGGTTAAAAAATCACGAGCGCGAAGCACGAGTGATTTTTCCTGAAAAACTTGACGACTTCGTTTGTATGCAGGGAACCTTGAGGAAACTGCCCGATTAATTTGGAAGCTCGTGTGGTATTCGGGGGATTATTTTTCCAATCCAAATGTCGGGCAATATAATTGGACCATGAGGCGAAACTCACAATTGAGAAACGAAAATTGTATAATTAACACAGCAGCATTCAATGTGTGTGTCAGCACTCAATGTGTAGTTTCTCTCATCACAAAAACTGGTAAATTGATTCCAAATTGTCTTCTTCGTTTTCTCCGTATTGACGGGAATATTCCCCTTTACTTTTTCATCAATGGTTTTCAGGGAGTGAGATCCGAATCTACTCATTTCGAATAAAAATCCTCGGATTACCACAAATGAATTCAATCTGTCAGTTTGACGAGGCGTTAATTCGACAGCATGATGTTTTGTTTTTTATATAGCAACTACCAGAGAAAATTATCAAAAAATTATCAGTTGAAAATCCTGTAGCTTGTACCACGTGATGTCGAATGGGCCAATTATATTGCCCGATATTTGGGTTGGAAAAATAATCAGGTAAAAAAAATGAAGAACTACTGCGAAATATTCAAAGGCTAGGAGGAAATATGCGAAATAAAACTATCAAGTAGCCTCAAATACTGCGCTCTGATTGGTCCAAATCCGATTGGGAAAAATAATCACTAAAGTTTGAAATTTCTTTATGCCTCCCCCCTCCCTTAAACGAACTCAATAACACGCTCTTGCAAATAACCACCAAACCGACCAAGAAATGCTAATTTTTTTTTAACAGCGCATTGACGAATCAATGAAGTTTTGTAATATTCAATAAAATACTAATGTTCAAATCCATATGCTAATAAAAATGATTGAAAACGAGAAAGATTCAGGCAACTATAGCTCTGAATCATCAACTAATCTATTAAAAATTCAAGCTATCATGCTTGAAACGTCACTGATTGCTACACATGAAAAAAATGAATCTGGTTGAGTCTCCAAGATGAATAAAAAATTCCATAAACAGTTTGAATTTAAGTTGAATTCCCATTCATATCAATTATTATAATTCCTTACAATGTACTCTACTATAGTCAAGATATATATCTTCATTTGAATACAAGCGGATTCGCGCTATCCAACTAATCCTTTCAAATAAATTGAAAAATACGTTAGTCGGACTTTTCCACTTATGTAATTGAATACCCCTCCAATTAGCCACCTGAACGCATCCTCTCAAAGACCCTCCAATTGAATTTCCTACCAAAAATTTAACCATGTTTCCAAATGCAATTTTACGTACTTTGAGTGCTTCATACGGCACAACCATTTGTCTACTTAATCAACTCAGTGCAATCTAAATAGACAGGCCAGCTCAAAGGACTCTTTTTCTTTCTTTTTTTTTATTACTCAAGTAATTACAGACGGTCTCTACTGAGTAAATCGCCAACTCCAAACACCTTGAGCGTCCAAGTGCCAGCGTACTCGTGTCTTGGGCAGTCTTTACCAAACTTGACACTTGCGACGTCACCGCAAACATCCACGGTCTCGCCTACTCCACCAAACTCTCTTCTCATTGTACCACAAATCACGAAGAGCAAGGACACTCTCCTATCCCCGGGTCATCGAGGTGTGTTTGATTGACGATTAATTTATCCAGTGATTTATTTCATGAATAAATGGAAAGTTTATACGAACGTAAATTGTGCACACTTTCATTCTCGATAATTTTTTTTTCCTGTTGATGATAAGGAATTTCCTACCCACCCCCGTCACCGCCGAGGGGTGCACTGAGACGAACATTCGCGGTACCGCAATCGAGGAATCCACCACTGATAAAAACACGACACATCAATGCATCGGTAGCGCAGGGGACTATTCAATCGACGATGAGCCTGGATACAGAGGCCATTGAGGAGCGACGGAGGAGACTGGAATTGGTAGCACGCAGTCCCTCGATTACCAGCACTGTTAAGGAAGCGAGAGGGTAAGGCTCGATTTCGAAGAACTACACGGAGAGAAATATTCAATAAAAATTACGTATCTTTTCCGTAATTCCGGAGCGAAATGTGGTTGTAGAAAATTTTACGGAACTGTTACGGAATTTTTCCGGAGCGTTCCGTAATTTTTATCTGAATCTCTTGTGAAAAATTACGATACCGTCACTCAAAAATTTTCTGAGTCGATTCCGTAATCGGTGAGTGAAGTGAGAGTTCCGTAATTTTTTCTGAACATTTCTCTCCGTGTACACTGAAAAAAATTTTTTTTCTAGGCTGAGAGAAAATTTCCGACGCGTAATTTACATGGGATTTCCACTTGTGTTGTTATACTCTTAAACAAGAGGGAAATTGCTCCTGTGTTGCGGATAGGATAGTTATTTTTGCTAATAAATTAGCAATATGCTTCCGAATGGTCATTTTGCTGATTTTTTTCTATTGTATATTATTCATAGCCCATTTTAGTTTCTTGAATTGAATTAATTTCTTTCTAACTAATTGTTTTAGATTTTCCACTTAATGAAAGTCTAAAAATTTCGGGAAATTTCGATGAAATATTGTTAGGAATATTTCAATACTACATAATGGAATGCATTCGAAATATGAAATTTAAAGGAACCATCAGGAAGCTAACTTTCAGGGGAATTCATGAAAAATTCTAAATTTCCAAAAATTATCCTGAAAATCCAATTAACCAAGACAGTTATTGTAACCATCTTTTAACTTCGTTATAATAGCATTGAAACAAACATATTAAGCTATGATTGAATTCATTTGAAGCGCAATCACCAGAGATAACTGCGGAATTCTGATTTCAAAAAAGACGAAATTTTGTAAAAATCTCATAGAAATCAAAATAACGATTATTGGTGTCGCTTTCATCTTCGAACTTGGTCAAAAGGACATCTCGACGAATTTTTTAAGCCGTCATTCAATGAATTTAGAACATTTTTTTTACTTATCGTGTTATAACTAAATTTTGAAAAAATTCGAAGATTAAAACAATTAATCAATGAATTGATTTTTAATTGATGGCGATGGATAAGGCTTAGCAATACCTTCATTTAAGGAGAAAAAGTGATTCAATTCCATCGATTCATTAGCCAGAAATTTACGAAAAACTTTGCCACAGACATATATACATATATACATACGGACGGACACGGTCTAAAAAATGCATTTTCTGACTTTTTGGATCATAATGGGTCGATATAACACAAAAGTTCAAAACTTAAATTTAAACGATTACAATGCTTCCATTCGGAAGCAAAAATTTTGGCGGACGTTTCTGATACCTTCACGCACGAAAACATTGAATAGAAAAACCTAGCAAATTCACTAGGCAAATCCATTGGATTTCTATTGAACTTCTATTGAAATGTTCAATAGAAGGAAATATTCTATAGAAAAAATAAACAGAATTCCATTTTTCTACAAGACTTATTATATTAAGACGTCTATGAAATTTCCTCGGTTCAAATTTTATAAGTTTTTCTCTTTGATTTTCGTGATGAAAAGAAAAAAAATAGAATGAAAAAAACTGAGAAAATATGAGCCGCGGAAATTCTATAGAAACTATCCCAATAGAGTAAGTTGTATAGAAAAGTCAAATTCTATTGACTTTTTCTATAGAATATTCTCTATTGACGAACAACATGCCAACTTCACACTCATGAAACTTCCGACTCACTCGTATCGAAATATACTATTTCGAAGTTTTTGGATCATACAGGATCGATATAACACAGAAAATCCAAAACTTGAATTTGAACAATTACAAAGCTTCCATTGGGAAGCAAAAAAAATCTCTCAGTCTAGAACAGAAATAGCTCACAAATGCAAAGGGATTTTCTCAATTTAACATGGATCGTGTCTCACTTTTCTGTTTCACAGGAGCGAGGAGAATCGATGAAACTCATTTTCACCTCTGCCAGAGGGATTATTGAAATTGAATTGATAATGGAGGAGGGGTACCCACCCCACCCACGTCCCCGACGTTACAATCGGGCGGGGATTTTTTTTGTTGAAAATGCCACATACTGCGTGCAATTGCTGCACACATTTGCACGCAACAACCGGCATTTCAAAGAATATTTTAGATAAATTGGCATGAAAAATTGATGAAAAAAAAACAAGGAACATTGGAGGATATGGAATTGTTTTGTATGACACGACTCGTAAACCTTCGAATATTGGCGCATGTTTTCACAATCGGTAAGTGGCAAATAATCGTAAATAACGAGAGGAATTTATGGTAATTGCGATGATAACACCTGGCGTTTGTTTTAATTTCAGATAGGGGCCATTTCAATTTCAACGTGAAAATTTTTTCCGACCACTGTTTGATAGTTTATTGTACTCTAGCGACATAATAACGTATTTTACGTCACTCGTTTTTGGTTCTGTTCGTTGACGCACTCTAAACCGAGAAAAAAAATTGTAATTGCGTCTTCACACGAATTCGAGTGTCTTGAGCCATTGGTTTTTAGATGTTTAAGCAGGATACAAATGGGCCTACGTAGGATTAATTTCAACAATTAATGATAAACTATATGTTAGAACGATTCAGTAATAAGAGTTAAGAGATAAAAATAATTAATGTAAATGTAGATAATGACGTTTCGGCTTTTAGGGACGATTGTGACTGTTAGTTATCGATCAAGTTTAAATAATATCCATAAGATTTAAGTACAAATTCTCATCGTTCCAATGACTGAATGAGGGGAGACAACACTTAAGCAGTACATAAAACAAATAAAGTAGATAAATCTTGAGACAGAACAGAGAGTTATCTTTTTTCATCACAATTTTTTAAATAAGAGAGATATTCAACTAATTTTTTCGCTCCTTGCTGCTTGCATCAAGCTACACAGAAATATAAGAATACCAAAAGATAGATTGTAAGACACAATAAGGCCTAATTATGTAAATTAAGACTATGGAGAAACAATAAATGAAAATGCATTATTTATAATTAAATATCGAACGTCTATTGATTCTTTAATGCCTCTAAATATTCAACAGTTATATACCTCCACTAGCCATAGTCCTATAACGACAATATTTCTATTTACATCACAACGACTAAATTCACTGCATTCATTTTTCCTGAAAAAACTTAGCAGAGCTCAGGTTGGAATATTATTCAAAGTACTGATCGAAATATTCCTGGTTATCTGCTATTTTAGAGCCATGAAACGTAACAGATTGAATAGTATTCGAATGGTTTTGTTCCGAAAAATACTATTTGAAATAATATCGGTTTTTGTTTTATTTAATGTGGTGAATGCAATTAATTGCAAGTATTTGAAATTAATAATTGACGGATATTTCTTCAAATATCTTTTTTCCGTTATAAACAATAACTCAATTTTCTTTTTGTCATCACCAAAAATGAAGTCAGAAAAATTAGAAAATTTCAGAACTTTAAAGAGGATGAAGAAAAGAATTGAGAAAAATGAGGGGAAAAGTTGAGAAAATTGCCTGGCTAATTGATATGCTTAAATATTTTTTTAAGATTGTTGTTAATAGTGGCTCTCGATTAGAATTGAAAAAACAAGTTTTTAGAAAAAATGAGCAAAACAATCCTCAATATCCCCACCAATAATTAAGGTTATCCAAGTACCTTTACTTGGTACGTCTGGTACAGACCGCACTGTAAATTCAACCATTTTCAATTACCAAATAGGTCAATTAAATTGTGAGAGAAAAATTTGAAAAAAATCATGAATATTCGACGTTTTCCAAATTACATTTTTCACAGAATTATTATTATTCATAGCAGTCGTTGTTTATAAATAAATAATTGAAATTGGTTAAATTTTTGGAAACCTTTTTTTACACATGAAATCGATACTTGGTAAAATTATGAATCTGAATAAATTTCTTATGATTCCGAACAAATAGTTTTTATGGTGGAAAATTGATTCTTTATCAATTATTTATACAAAATGCTTGTAATTTTCAAAAATTGCAATTTTTCAATTAATTCATCAATTTTCCTCCAAATGTAAACTTTCTCATTGTTTTTTTAGGTTTTTAAAATGTTTTCTAACGGTTAAATATCAAGACCTGCAAAGTTCAAATAATAAAATTATTGTAAAATGACCCGAAACTTAGCATGGGGCTGAAATGAAAGCTCTGATGTTCGACTACAAAAGTACAAAAGCATTTCACTGGAGGACAAATAGCCAAAGTACTTGGACATCCTTAAATTAGAGAGCTCCAGTCGCGCTCATTTCTCTTATTTTAAACTATATTTTTCGATAGATAACACAAAATAACTCTAGCAATTGTAGAGCAGTATTTCAAATACAGAATTGGCGAAATCATTCATCTATACCATTTCCTCAGATCAAGTAATTATTCTTGTGACTTTAGATCAGTTTTTCTCCCAAAGTGTTTCAATTCAGTTTGGAAAGCAAAAATAAATAAACAACTTTTGCATTCCCAAAATGTCGCAAATTGAAGAATTATTCCAAATAGTATTGCATCCTGAAATCCCAATTCAAATACTATACGGAAAGAAATCCTTCAAAAAAAATCCAGTGCAGACCCTTGAAATTTTATTAGGTAGCACGTGAATTTTTCTCGTATTGGTACGATTTTTTAAATTCTAATAATCGCCTAGAGTTGATCACTAAACTGAACTTTGACAAAAGGTTTCCACTTTTCGATGTAAAAGCCTTCCTCACTTTCAACATAAGACCAATTATGGCTATTGATTTATTCTTGAAAAAAATTAAAGCAAATGAATGATATACTGATGTAAATGATCGATTATTCTTTCACTTTCGTATTATGATTACTATTCTTCAGCAGAGTAAACCTATAAGTCAAAAATGCTTAAATAAATTTTTTCAAAATATGCAATTTTCACAGGAATGCTTAGAAATTTTATTTCAACAGCGCTAGAATTTTTCTCAAAGAATTTCTCCTCGCGTATTCCTACTCGATGTTCATGAAAAAGTCTTCACCTCTTTAACCTATAAAACCCCCTTAAACCCCTCCGTGCTGGCTCCTCGCTCTGCGATGGCAATCACGCCGATTGAACCAACTGAGTCAGCAATCACTAGTCATGTCCTGACAAGTGCGCGCCTCCCCCTGTTCATCCGCCAGTGTCTCAATTATATCGAGCAGCAACTCTCTGCTCAACTGCTTGAGCCTGGGTAGCCGTGCAACCTGGGCAAGCAAAACACATTAGAAACTCTCGAAATCCAATAACAAAACAATTCTCATCAACTCCCTCAGTACCTGACTAAAGTGATGAACAATATGATTGAGAGCATATTTCTTCATATCACAAGCTTGCATTCTATCCGCCGCCTCGAGTATCTGAATAACATTTTCGAAAGTAACATTCATCTCCAAATTTTGCTTGCAAAATGCCTGCAATCGATTATTAGTAAAACCGTAGAAAACAGGAGCCGTGAACAGGTACAGAGAGTCCTCAGGCGGCATCGAAACATCAGCATAATAGATATACCTCATCAAAGACGCAAATGACTCTGACGATGGAATCATCTCCCCAATTTGTATGTTAACAGTGTTATTTTCCGGCATAAAAGACCTAAACATTCCCTCGAAATAGCTGCACCGAGCTGCCAAGACAGCTTTGTGCGCCGGAATGGGTACCCCATCCAACATCAAAGTTATATCGCAAAATTCCCTGCCCACACTCTTCAAAAAAATCGCCATATCCTGTTCCAAGGTCGTGCCCGTACCAAGCTCATAATGCTTCGAGAAACTCCGCGCCTGTGGCATCTGCCTCCTCCTTATTATCTCCACCATCAAAGGCTGATCAAGGGTCTCAAATTCCTGACTCATCACAATCTGATTGTAGTTGCTGTCCTTGACAACGAAACTGAGACAGAACTCCTTGATGAAATACAGCTCTAGGTGTGCGGCATTGTGCAGAGCCTCCAACACGTTAGCATGATTAATAGTGGCTTCTAGGTAATGAACGCACAGCTGTTCCAGGCGTTTCATGTTAAATTGAACGGCCAATCGATAGACATCCATCATCAGAAGGACAATGAGATTACCCGGCTCTGGGTCATCAACGCCTTTGGTCGGATCTATCCGATCTGTATATATGTAATTGAGGACCATCTCAAAAGCCTTTGGCACAGCGTCCTCCAATTTAACTTCCAGCAGAGGCATATCCTTAATGGGAATGTCAACTGTTCCGAAAGCCTCCTCAAGGTGTTTCGCCCGTTTCTCCCTAGCCTGCCTAATCTTCCCGCTCAAGAATTGCGATCTTGCAGCCACCATGGCAATATGCGCCGGTATTTTCTTCTCCATCTGATCCTTACCAACTACAAACTCAACGTCGCAAAATTGCCGGGAGAGCAATAGCCGGCCAAAATCGTCGTGCAGTGTGCACTTGGGATAACACGAGAATTGAAATCTGTAAGTCTCCCCCGAGCGAACATTATTGTCAACCGTACCCCCAAATATGTACATGGCTTCTGCGATAACAGCAGCAGCGTGGAAGAGCCTGCCTGAGGGAATCTCACTGTCGTTGGACGGAATAACGACATTCCAGGTCTGTGTGTCCAGATCGTAGCAGTGGAGATCGTTGGGCAGGGTGGAATCAGCTGCACCACCGAATACGTACAAATGACGGTGGAAACTGACCATTGTGTGACCGTAACGACGCGCTGGAGGTGGTGGAGCACCTCGTAAAATGTGCTCAGTGGATATTCGCGTCCAGCGTTTATCCCTGAAGTGAAATTGAAAGAGACTGTTGGTTATTTTGGCTCCACTCTGACCACTGAATACGAACATTGATTCGCGGGCAACTGCTACTGGAAAATTGCAACAGGTTGGGGGACAGTCACCGGACTGTACGACCTCCTCCCATATTCTCAGCTCCCCTGGTAATAGGGAAATTGTCCACATGTCGTTGAGACGCGCGTTACCGTCGTATCCCGCGAATATCCACAATTTGTTGTCGTAGACAGCCGCACCGTGGGCAGAACGGGCGACTGGAGTTTTACCGATGAATTTCCACTCGGTCCATTGACCATTCTGAAAGCGATACTCAAAGAGATCGTTCTTGTTGGTCAGGTTGGAGTTTGAGTGGATGTCACCGGTGTAGCCACCGAATACGAACATCGAGGAGTCGTGCACCACTGCTGAGTGGTGGTAGCGGGGGGCTGGGGGGGTGCCTGTGGCGAAGGCACGACCCCAGGATTTTTCTTTCACGTCGAAACGGAGGAGGTCGTTTAACATTCGCTTACCGTTGTCACCACCGAACACGTAGATTGCGTCTTTGTAGGCCACCACTGTGTGTTTGCTTCGCCTGGAATTGAATGAAACATCATGGGAGTTTTTTAGCGAGAACTCATTACTGTAAAAATACTAAACGCAATCCACTATGTACTTTAAGCAGAGACCATAAAAATAGAATGAAAATAACTTAGAAAATTTATGGAAAAATTTGATTGAAAATCGGCCAAACACTAGTAGAAAGGTCAATAGATATTCAATAGAATTGTCTAGCGAAGGAGCTAGATCTTTGTATTAAATTGAGATGAGATGAGGTGCATGTACCTCAACCAATCAACAAAAATTTATTTAACTATCAAACACCAATAATTACCTAGCTCCAACGAACTCATCACAATCGGGCATCTGTTGCCATCGATGTACAGTCTCAAAGGGTCCAAAATCGAGGGTCAAACACTCGGCAGTTGTAGTGTTATCCATTTTGCCAATGTACCCCTAATAATTACAACAATTACAAAATACTCTTCACACTACGCGATCCCTAACCCAACCAACGAAGCTTTCCCCGAGTCCACTTGTTCGTCTGATCATTTTCCTGCAATCTCCCCCGATACTACTACCCTTTCACGTGAATATTCAGTCAAACATATTTTCTGTTAACAAACCACGATTATCCGCAATAGAACATCCTCGCCCCAACAAAAAAATTTGACGTTTCCTTTCGTGAAATTCCGTAACCCGTCGTCAAATCCGTGTTCAGAGAGCGGTAACTGTCACCATCTGGCACAAAAAACGTGAAGTAGCAAATCTATTCAAACGATTCGATATTAAAAAAAGTATCGAAATCTTGCATCGATATATCGATATATCGATATATCGATACAAAAGTAGCGGTGAAAAATGTCTGTTATAATAATTTTTTTTCAACTACAGATGAGTTGATTATATTATCAACTAAAAATCCTAATATCTCAAACGTTCCATTCCTACTCTCCCTTATGGCATTTGAAAAATTGTTTCTATTGAAAAATTTACAAATTTACAATTCTAGCGCTTACTAGCAAATTTTATTGAGTTTTCATTGAACTTGTATTGAAATTTTCTTTTACTTTTTTAGTCATCTTCGCTTATTCATTTTATTTAAATTTTATTTAAATGGAACGTTAATTTTCGCCTCTTCTTTTTTTTCGTTCAACGACACGACTTTAATGACGCTCATTTTCAGTTGAAGATGAAATAGTATATTTCGATATGTGCGCGTAAAAGTGCTTTTTGTGATACCTGACTCAAAAGTGCACTTTTCGAAACGGTTTAGTATGCGTAAAGCGGCTGTTTTCCGCACGGCGTGCGTAAAGTCCACGGGCGGGCATAAAGTGAATTCTCATGCGTAAAGAACACTTCCCACGAGTGTCGAACTCTATTTTATTCCACTCATGCCTGAAACCGGCTGAATTAGACACGAGACGCGAAGCGTCGAGTCTTTATGTCACGAGTCGAGATTTTATGTCACGAGTGCCTTCGTGACATAAAATTTTGTTCAGTACTTGTTGGGAAATTTCGTCCTTAACGTGTGTGGTTACATCACTCGCCTTCGGCTCATGCTGTAAACCCCACACACGTTAAAGACGATATTGCCCCACATGTACTGAAATATACTATTACATGACGATGTGCGGAAAGTGCCATTTTGCGCACGCGGAGCATGCGTAAACCTCCACTTTACGCACAAGTGGTGAAAACTCTATTAGTTTTTCCCCGATTCGAATGAAAAATGGGGTTCAATAACCAACTTACGAAAAAAATCAACAGAATTTGATTTTTCCATAAAACTCATCGTGAGATTCTTTTCTATAGAAATTTCTGTCCGTAAATTTCCCATTTCTTTTGTTTGTTTTTTTATAAAATGGGAAAAAAATTGCGTAGAAATCCCTTAAAAAATAATGTCAAGAAATTTCTACAGAAAATCTTTTAATAAGTTGCATACAAAAATCAAACTCTACATATTTTTTCCATAGAATAGTTGTATTTGAACACTGTCTATTGAAAAAACCGCGCAGAAAAACTGCGGAATTTTTCAATAAATTCAACGAGAAATGACTACCATTTTCAATAAAAATTCAATAGAATTTTTTAGCGAACTCGCTAGATTTTTCTACTGATACCTGAATAAAATAAGTTGCACAGGAAAATTAAATTCTGATTGCTCCTATAAAAAAGTTTCTATTGAATATTGTGTTTTGGGGAAAAAAGCGCACAAACCCTGCGCAATGTTTCAATAGAATCGGCGACAAACTAAATAGAATGTTCAATAGAAATCCAATAGAATTTTCTAGCGAACTCGCTAGATTTTTCTGTTGATATCTGAATAGAATAATTATACAGACAGATTAAATTCTATTGATTTTTTTCTATAAAATAACTTCAATTGAGCATTGTCTATGAAAAAAAACAGAAAATCTGCAGAATTTTTCAATAAAATCAGCGAAAAACTAATAGAATTTTCAATAGAAATCCGATAGTTTTCTAGCCGAGTTACTAAATTTTTCTATGAAATTTTTTCAAATAATCCGTCACTATATCGACCCGGAAAACTCGATAACAAAATATCGATTTTCAGACCACGAAATATCGATATTCGGATAAATCGCTGTCACAGCGAATCCCTACTCCAAACGATAGCTTTCAAATCGTGCCTTATATTGCCCTTCCCAGTTGCCGTGGCATACCATCCCGGCGTGTGTACGTGATCAATCGTCGGTGACTAACAACCGGTATTTTTTGTTCGAAAAAAAATTCAACAGTGACGTTACAAAACAATTTATTAATGAACCATGGGACAGCACGTGTCAAGAACGGACTTCGAGTGGGTTTACACGGAGGAGCCGCATGCCAGTCGGCGAAAAATAATCCTTGGTAATCCTATTTATTCGTCATTCTTGTACACTTGATAATGACACGGGTGGATGACATATGACGCCTCATGTGATTGACGCTAGGATGTAACTCGTGCGGTTCCATTTGCAGAGAAATATCCAGAGATTAAACAGCTTTTTGGTTATGATCCGAATTTCAAATGGGTGGTGACTGCAATGGTTCTAGTCCAGCTCGCCTCGATGTTTGTTGTTAAAGATTTGAGCTACCCGATGTTGTTCATCATGGCTTATTGCTTTGGAGGAGTTATCAATCATTCTCTCATGCTGGGTAATTTCATATGACGTTGTTCTGAATCAATACTTTAATGCAATATGTTTCTGTGTAATATTTGCAGGGCTGAGGTGTATCACGCACGGAAAAATTTAATAGGAAAGCCTCGCGAATTCGTTAGAAACTTCTATTGTCTATTGAAATGTTCTATAGAAAAAGTCAATAGAATTCGATTTTTATATACAACTTATTCTATCGAAATGAGATATTTTCTGTAGAATTTCCTCGGCTCAAATTTTCATAGTTTTTTTCATCCTATTTTTCTGTTCTTCGCATAAAAAAAAATAAACAAAAAACTTGGAAAATTTTTTCCGAGGAAATTCTATAGAAAATATCTCAATTCAAGAGAATAAGTTGTATCGAAAAATTTAATTCATGACTTTTTCTATAGAATATTTTCTATTGAACATTTCAATAGAATCGACTAATATCTAATAGACAGTTCAATAGAAATCCAATAGAATTGTCTAGCGAATTCGCCAGGTTTTTCTATTCAATTGTTTCATGTGTGATTCCACTGAAAGAGGAAAAACATTCCAAATGACTATTTTGAAGTTATTTTTCTGCGAATAAATACCATTCATTAATTTAATGGTGAAACAGCATTGCCTTTTTTTAATTATTATTTCGAAAGGTTTTCAATCATTTTGAAAATACTGTGGAATTTAGAGATATGTTTTTTATTTTCAAGTGATGATAAGAAGATATTTTAAAACCATTCCGATGAAGAATCCATATAAAATAGTATTCCTTTAAATTAAAGTAGTTTAGATTCAATTGCATCTCCATATTCGATAGATATCTGAGACTGCAAATTGTTTAAAATTGTATTTTTTTCTGAAACAAACTATTCAAAGGCTACTGCATGTATCACATTTTACGACTTCAAAGTAACAGATCCTCATGAATATTTCAAACAGTAATTGAAATATCATTCTACTCATCTCTGTTCATACACTAGGGTCTATGTCATAAAAATCTAATTGGAATCGAATTCAAAATGATTTTTCCAGATGACATCAGTCTTCAGGATATCTAGAATACTATTCATTGATTGATTATGGCCACTAGAATGGACATTGAGTGGACAATTGCTATTTTATTCTAGTAAATGGAAACATGAAAATGTATTGCCTAGGACTGTCTATTTTACAATTTCAATCAGGAATGTCAATGGTTAATGGGCTTACCCTCATTGAAATTATTTCACTGTTTCCGACAGTCCTTAATTATTTATCACAAACTGTTGGGGTTGAGAGATTTGTTTTTATTTCTTTTAATTGAATGTTCTATTGAGTCTATTTATCAATTAAGACTTCTAAAAATGATATAAAATGGATATTTGCTATACTATTCTAGTCAACTGATGGATGGAAAAGTATTACCTACTCTATTTTACAATTTCAATGGGGATTATGAATAGTCAATGGGTTTTGTGATGAAAAAAAAACTTCTAAATAATGGAATGAAAGTATTTCAATAAATTCTCATCAATTCTTTACTTTAAAATGTATTTCTTTGTATCAGATACTTCTAGTACTATTTTGTTGATCACATTACATGAATTGAAACTAGAAATTACATGTAATTAAGCATTTGACTTATCACATATGAAAAAATCCCATCAACAAACCTAGCGAATTGGCTAGAAAAATTTATTGGAATACTATTGAAAAATTCAATAGAGTTCGAATTTCTGTTTGACTTTTCTCTTCAGACTTTTTCTATAAGAATGCTTGCGCATCAATTTTCTATTTTTTCTCTACTCGGATTCTGTAATGCAAAACAACACAAAATCGAGCGGAAAAACGCTTGAAAAATTTATGCTCAATAATTCTAATAGAAAAAATCTCAAGAGAAAAATTCGAATAGAAATTCAAAATATATTGACTTTTTCCAATCAAATATGCAATAGAAACAGTGCAAAAAAACAAGCAGAATTGTTTAAAAAAATCAAAAAGAAATCCTATAGAAACCCCATAGAATTCCTATAAAATTTCAATAGAATTTTCTAACGAGCTCGCTACATTTGCTATTGAATTTTGTCATGCGTGTGAATATCAATCGATTAACATCATCGATTAACTTCATTGCAATTGCAGCTGTTCATGAAATATCTCACAATCTTGCCTTTGGTCACGCCAGACCGACGGCCAATAGGATATTTGGATTCTTCGCTAATCTACCTATTGGCCTGCCAGTATCAGTGAGCTTCAAGAAGTACCACTTAGAGCACCATCGTGTACGTATTTTTCTCGAACACCTGTTTTCATCAAGCACCATTATCAATGAAATAAAATTAGTCATTGATAAACATGTTTTTGCAGTATCAAGGGGACGAGTACCTTGACACTGACTTGCCAACGTTGCTGGAGGCTAAATTATTCTGCACAACATTTGGAAAGTTGTGCTGGGTTATGCTGCAGCCATTTTTCTACTCTTTCAGGCCACTCATTACGTATCCAAAGCCCCCACTCGTTTTAGAATACATTAATTTGGTGATTCAGCTCACGTTTGACGGTATCGTGTGGTACTTTTTTGGTAAGGAGACGATAATTTCCCCTTCTCTTTCACTAAGATATCCTTTCGGTGATTAATTTTTATTTGAATTTCCTTCTCAGGGGGAAAAGTCTTGCTCTATTTTATACTGGGTGCTGTCATGGCAATGGGATTGCATCCAGTCGCTGGACACTTTATCTCCGAACACTATATGTACAAAACAGGATACGAAACGTACAGTTATTATGGGCCATTGAATTATATTACATTCAATGTTGGCTATCACAATGAGCATCATGACTTTCCAGCTGTGCCAGGCTCTAGACTACCAGAGGTGAAATAATGTTTTAGTCTATTACTCTTAAAAATTTATGAAAATTTACATGTAGGTAAACATGTAAATCTAGCCATGCATTTCATGGGAATGCATGACATTCTAGGTTTCAACGCTCGGACTTTGAGTTCATTCTTCATTGTTTCATATTTAAGAGCTGTTTTAGATTTTGAAATTCACTGGAGAAATGAGGATTTTTACTAGAAGTGAGGACTATTTGATGAAAATCAAACGACAATAGTCTTTCACATCATTTTTGAGCATGCGGTACTATTTCCAGTGATGAATACTATTCACGAATTGTTATTTCTCGAATATTGTTATGGAATCTATCGATTAGCTTAAATCGTTTTCAATTATTTATCAGTCATTATTATTGTTTTATTGCTGTCATTGGAAAATTAGCGTTGCCTTCCTCTGTTGATCATTTCTAGGAGTAAAAATGAAAACTATGTCAAATCGTGGAAGAAAATATTTAGAGGACATCCCAGCATCTACGCATCTCAATAGTATTGTATTTTCTAAATTTAATGAATTCAAAGTAGAAATCAATTCAAATAGCATTTTCAAGGATGAAATTATCCAGGAACTTTTTCATTTCTCACATTTGGTGACTTAAAGATTGTAATGTAATAGTGACTTGATATATATGACCATTTTAATTAATCATTGAAATAATATTTCAATAATGTCGGATTTTTACTACTAAATCAAGTTGAAGTTTAATTTCTTATCAATTTCATCGGTTTTTTATTAACAAAAATTCTTCACATTTCCTTTAAATCAGATGAATATTTTGAGAATGCATCACTCGTTGAAAATTTCAAGATAAAACAATTAATTCAATTATCGATTTGCAGGTACGTCGTATCGCCTCTGAGTACTACGATAACTTGCCCCATCACAATTCCTGGACAGCAGTGATTTACGACTTCATTATGGATCCAGAAATAGGACCCTATGCTCGCATGAAACGCAAACACAGAGGTTTGACGTCGTAAGCTCATCTAGATCAATTTTATACAGAATTATATATTTTTTTCAAACGTAACTGCGCAAAGTTTTGATAATACGAAAATTTTCCTCGATTGAATAGTCATACGTCATACGCACCCCCTTGCCCAGTAATAAGCATTTAGTGCCCAAGGTGAATCGATATCACTGATTGTAAGTATTACTCCAACTTTAACTTGTCTTCTAATTGATCACTCATACGCTGATGTGTCAATTGTAATAATTTTTGCCAATTTTTCGCATACATCTGTTTACCCTGCTAATTGTGAATGATAAGAACACTTCTCAGGAATACTCGTAACGTAAGCAAAATATTGTGACAAAATCACATTTTTTTTGTGATAGCGAAGTGAAATACTTGCACTGTTAATCTAGTTAATTCCTCGGTATGAAGTTATTTTTATAAATATTCAATTATATATTCAGTGGAGTTCGTTTTTATTTATGATGTAATAAACGATCTGCGACTGTAAAAAACTTTGTTTTTGCATTTTAGTTATACTTTTTTTTCAACTTTCTCTCATAATTTTCGGGTTGATATTTTTTTATTGAGGACGAGGGAAATGTTCCTTATAATAATCAAATTTTTTTCTTCGGAACAAAAAATTATTTTTTATCAGTCATAATTAATATCTTCATATGCATTATTTTGTCGAAATACAACTTTTGCTCATTAATATGAATGAATGATAAAAATGCTCGAGTCCTGATAACAAAAATAGAGTATTTTAAGATTTATTATTTCAAATGCAAATAAATTCTGGATAAATATAGAGAAAACTGGGCAATATTTGAATGCATAATTTTTTTCCAATTTTTTCTTCTGATTTTTTCATTTTCATTTTTCTTATTGAGGACAAGGGAAATTGTTGAAATGACTAACACATTTTTCTGTTCTGGACAAACTTTTTTTTCTTTTATTCATCATAAACAATAATAAAGATTATAAATGTTCATTATAATGTTCACACAACTTTTTCTTCGCTAGAGAAAGCTATTTTTTATCAATCAGGCAATAGTCAATACCTTTATATCAGGTGCATTACTTTTTCTTCAGAAATACAATTTTTCCGGTTGAAATTTCATTTTCCTACTTATGAGATAAATGAAAAAGAAATTCGAATTCTGCTGATTGAAAAACTGAAAATTCCAAATTTATTATTTTCAATTTCGGCCAACTCTATTAAAAAAATGTAGGAAAAACTATCAAATTTTTTATTTTTAACACTATTTTTCTTACGCAGGATAGAGGAATGTTTAAAGACATGAATAACACTTTAAATTTTAAATAATCAACTAATGTTTTTTTTCATTTATTCTTCACAAACAATAGTCATGATTACATTTGTTGCATGTTTTTTTGGTTTACAACATATCCCATTCAAAAATACTTTTTTTTCAATAAGAAAGTACGAAAAAGAACCTAACGACTAAAAAACACAAAATTTACAATGTCGAAATGGAACCTATTCTATAAAAAAATACAAAAAAAATCATGAAATACTTAAAATTAACAAAGCTTTTCAGTCTGTCGTATTTCTGCACTCCTCACTTCACCCTGCCTCTAATCCACTTCCTCAACCGTCGGCCCAGAGTGGTCACCCCCCTGGGGAAACTGAGCCCCAGCCCCTGGCTGTCCGCCCCCAGCGCCCTGATGGATCTTCGTCATGATGGGCGAGCACTGCCTCTGCATCTCCTGCAGCTTATCATTGTACTCCTCCTTCTCAGCCAGAGTATTATTATCCAGCCACCGAACGGTCTCCTCGCACAGTTGAAGGACCCTGTCCTTGTCCCCCTGCTCGAGCCTGGAGCCCTGCTCCTGCACAGCTTGCTTCACCGAGAAGACATACGTCTCCAGTTGATTCCTCGCAGTCACCTTCTCCCTCTGCTGCTGGTCCTGATCGCGATATCGTTCAGCCTCAGCCAGCATGCGATCAATCTCCTCTCGTGACAGTCGCCCCTTGTCATTGGTGATCCTGACGTCGCTGCTGCGACCACTGGCCGTGTCCTTGGCTGTGACGTGCAGAATCCCATTGGCATCAAGATCAAAGGTGACATCGATCTTGGGGACTCCCCTCGGTGCAGGAGCAATGCCACTCAGCTCGAATCTCCCCAGGAGATTATTATCCTTCGTCATAGCCCGTTCACCCTCGTACACCTGGATGGTCACAGCAGGCTGATTATCCGCATAAGTCGTGAACGTCTGCGTCTGCTTGCAGGGAATCCTCGCATTCCTCTCAATAATATTCGTCATCATGCCTCCAGCGGTCTCAATCCCCAGTGACAGCGGTGCAACATCGACCAGCAGAACATCCTGGAGGGACTGGTTCTTGTCCCCTTCTCCAGTGAGAATGGCCGCCTGGACGGCAGCCCCATAAGCCACCGCCTCGTCCGGATTGATGGACAGATTCAGGGTCTTCCCACAGAAGAAGTTCTGCAGCAGCGACTGGATCTTCGGGATCCTGGTGGAGCCCCCCACCAGCACGACATCGTGGATCGATCGTTTATCCAATTTAGCGTCAGCCAGTGCCTTCTCCACGGGCTCCAGGGTCGCCCTGAAGAGGTCAGCACAGAGTTCCTCGAAACGAGCCCTCGAGATTTTTGTGTAGAAGTCGATGCCCTCGAAGAGCGCGTCAATCTCGATTGAGGCTTCGGTGCTTGAGGAGAGCGTGCGTTTGGCTCGTTCAGCTGCTGTGCGGAGTCTCCTCAGAGCCCTCGGGTTGCTCTTCAGGTTCTTCCTGTATTTCCTCTCGAACTCTTTGCAGAGATGCTCGACCAGGCGGGAGTCGAAGTCCTCTCCCCCCAGGTGGGTGTCCCCAGCGGTGGACTTTACCTCGAATAGGGAACCCTCGTCGATCGTCAGGATGGACACGTCGAAGGTGCCGCCGCCCAGGTCGAAGATCAGGACGTTCTTCTCGCCCTTGAGGTTCTTGTCGAGGCCGTAGGCCAGCGCTGCGGCTGTCGGCTCGTTGATGATACGAAGGACATTCAGCCCAGCTATCGCCCCAGCGTCCTTCGTTGCTTGGCGCTGGGAGTCGTTGAAGTACGCCGGCACCGTGACCACCGCGTCCTTGATCTTTTGACCCAGGTAAGCCTCGGCTGTCTCCTTCATCTTCGTCAGGACCATCGAGCTGATCTCCTCGGGGTTGAACCGCTTCACTTCCCCACGAAACTCAACCTCGATCTTCGGCTTGCCTCCCTCGTTCACCACCTTGAATGGCCAGTGGTTCATGTCCGCCTGGATCTTTGGGTCGTCGAATTTACGGCCGATCAGGCGCTTAGCGTCGAACACTGTGTTCGCCGGGTTCATCGCCACCTGGTTCTTCGCGGCATCGCCGATCAGTCGCTCGGTGTCGGTGAAGGCCACGTAGCTGGGGGTCGTTCGGTTACCCTGGTCGTTGGCGATGATCTCCACTTTACCCTGCTGCCACACACCCACGCAGGAGTAGGTGGTGCCCAAGTCAATACCAATTGCTGGCATTTTTGTTGATTAATCTCACTTCACTTCACTTGTTAATAGTTTGAATTCTGTTTGTGTACTGATGCTGGGGTGCCGAGCGCCCGCCTTATATACCCCCACCCGACTCGGCCCCACGCACTGCGACTTCGAATCATTTCGAGAGGGTTCGAGACGCCGGCGACGTTCGAAACGCAACGTTTATCGCAGCGAATCAACACTGTTGACAATTTTTGGCTGAAATTCGCAGTACAGTTTTTGGAAATTTTTATGGAATTTCGGCATTGAAAATTCAGAATTTCGGGGGAAAGAGAGAGAGAACTGTCAATTTCAATTCCATTTTTCTCTGAAATGAATAGAAAACCAGAACATTCTGGTAAATATATTGTTGAATTTTCAGGACAATGACACTAAATAGGATTTAGGGGAGAAAAATCATGAAATTTCAGATGTCACTCATAATTCAATTTCATTTTTTTGCTAATAGTGTACTGTTGTGTTTTTTTTACATCTAAGCAAACAAAAGAAGCCTTTTTAAGCACGGAAAATTAACAGAGACCGATTGCAAAAAATTACGTATCAGCCTCAAAGAGAAATACAATATTATCAAAACTATCATAATTAATTTTAGAACATCTAATAAACTCGAGAGCCTCTCCCTGTCAAAATTTACACATTGTATAAAATATTAATACAAAAAAAAACAACGTTAGTTGCACATATATTTTCATTAGTGTATTTTGGTAAATTGAAGAATATTGCATAATTCATTTGATTTTTGTGGAAATTTCATGTGCACATGGAAAGTCTTTGACATTCTAGAACCGAGGAGGTTTCTTGAACAGAGACAGCGTTTCAACTCGATCAATATATATGACTACGACGTAAATAATCGTGAATGTTCTCTGTTTTGACAAAAGCGCGACGTAGGTGTTACAGTTAATTTTTGGAGATGATTCATCGCTGTGAGTCATTTCTCCATGTGTGCATTGACTGGAATGTTCTGGACGATTGTTGAATTGTCATTTATTGAAAATTTCGAGAATCAATTAATTTAATTTTGTCTAGAATTTACGAGTTTTCCGCAACGTTCATAGGATTATTGGAAGATTCTGGAAAAATTTACAAAAAATTCCGGAACTTTTTGAGATCCTCGGAATAATTCCAGAATTATATAGGGTAAGATTTACGAGAATAATAAAATTCTACGTCATTCATTAGAATATTTTTTATTCCCTTAATTCCATTTTTTATTTGCAATTTATCCGGTATCGGAAGAGAAGAAAAAAATATAATTCGTCTAGGATTTTCGTAGAACTTTTCGAGTGTGCGCAATATTAATAGAACTTTGTAGAAAATTCTGTAAAAACTGATGGAAATTCCTAGAACGTTTTCGACAATTCGGTAAAGTTCTAGAATGTTCTGATTTGTTTATCAGAAATGGAGAGTGTGAAAAATAAATATTTGTTACTTATGGATTGGTTTTTAATTGCGCACAATGAAAACTGGAAGGTACGCATTAGCCGAGGGTGAACGACATTCGCGCCAGAATCGCGGTGAAGGTTGTAGACACTTCTAGAAACGTCCAGAAATGAACGAGCACATTCTACCGTCCATGAGAGTCACTGACTCACTTCAGTCGCCCAGTGTCATTCAAAATACTCTCAAACTGGTCCCATAGTTCATAGTAATTGTTACAAGTTGTTAGAAAATTTTATTCAATGGCGAGCAACGAGGGAGAAGTCAAAGTGGAAGATAATCAGGTAGTTAACTGCATGGAGATATGAAAAAATATGATGGAAATCTTTGAAATATACATCCTAACCTCTAAAATCAACATCTTTCTCAACAGATTCGCTTTTATTTTTTAGATGCCCAACCCAAAGATTAAACATGACTGGTATCAGACAGAGGCATTTGTCGTTGTTACAATTCTTGCTAAAAATTCCGAAAATGTTGAAATAAATTACACAGAGACGACGGTGAGTACCTCCTTTGTTCCATCATGCCCTGAGGGCAGAGTAGATTAACAAAGAAAGTCTATTTTGAGTCAAGAACATTATTCATTAATTCTTATTGAGTCTGAAATATTTTGTGGGAATATTGCCACAGAAAAAACATGTTGATAAGAGTAATTTGTAACTTATTATGAAGCAGTTTCAAAGAGACGGTAAGAAAGAATCATTTTCAATTACAATTACTAGTAATTGGTAGAACGAAATTAAATGGTTTCCGATGCTCATTTTGAAGGTATTCTCTCAGGGTTTAAAATGAAGCTTGATTAATCAAAATCGTATGATTGCGTCAAAAGATATTCATGATTTGATGTGGATCATTTTTGTTTTACCTCAGCTTTCCTTCGCTTTCTCAAAGTAATGATTACTAGTGTCGTCTTACGGCGGTCCAATTTTTTTCATTGAAATCGGCATTTAAACAACAAGTTTTAGATTATTCGAAAATATTTTGAAATATGGTCGAAACACCTAGAGAGTGCATCAATGATGAAAAGGGTCTTGTAGGTAAATCCTCAAATCAATCGAGAAGTTTTTATAAATATTTAGAGGGTTTTGCGAACGATTTGGGATATGCTAGAAAGAATGATCAAAGTTTGGAAAAATGGAAAAAAGAAAACAATTTCAGAGTTTTCGACAAAAGTAAAAAATATCTTGGAATTTCAGTTTTGAAAATTTTTGAAAAATTCAAGGAGCGCTTCTCCAAAAATTATATTCATGAAACAGTCTATTTGATGATAATATCCATCTTAGTCTTGCTCCACAACGTTGCTTTATTGACGAAAGTAAATTGTTTTCATTGTGGGCAGCAACGACTGCTCCGTAAATTAATTTTTCCTTCAGAGAGTAATCAAAATAAAAGGGACTATGGAATATAATGCTCCTTATTTATATCCCCAGCTCAGTGTAACTGCCAAATTGCCATCTGGTAATGAATACAGCCTGGAGTTGGATTTAGCTCATCACATTGTGCCAAATCAGTGCTCATACAAAGTGGTTCCTTCAAAAATCGAAGTGAAGCTCAAGAAACGTGATGGACTGAGATGGACAGTGCTCGAAGGAAATCCAGTCGTTGGGGAGGCTGTGAAACCAATACCAGATGCGATAATGCGAAATGAACCACCAAAGTATCCAACTTCCAGCAAGAAACCAAAAGACTGGGACCGAGTTGAGAAGGAAATCGAGAAACAAGAGGAGGAGGAAAAACCTGAGGGAGATGCTGCTCTCAATGCACTTTTCCAGAAGATCTACGGAGGCGGCTCCGACGAAGTTAGACGTGCTATGAATAAATCATTTGTGAGTAGAAATGTCACGGAATCATAAACGTGTAACAATCAATGATCATTTATTCAGGATTGATTACAAAATCTAAAAGAAGAAAAAAGATAATTCTCTCTCTCTCTCTCTCTCTTTCGCAAATGAAAACGAAAATTTCTATTTGTCTTTCCAATTATTATGTTCTTCCACTAAAAACGGTCCAATTTTTGTAGGAAAAACTTTTTTGTGCTTGTTTTTGTTCTTCTTAATTAGGGGAAAATCAAAGATCATTTAAACCGTTCGGTATGAATAAACAATGGTCCGTGAAAAAAATTGCCTACTCGTTGATCATTTCCAGTAAAATTTTGTTAAAAAAAATCTAAATTTAAAAAATGTCTTATTGCACGAAATTTTTTAATTACTATGTTTTTCATTTATTCATGCATTTTCACAATTCTTCTCAATGAACGAAATCATATGCAAACTAAACGAAAGTCAAAACAAAACAGAAGATCATTTGTTTTTGCAAAAGGAAATGTTTTTTTTTATTCTCTTCGATTTCATTTTCAACAGCCCACGCATGATTGTTATGGGGTGCAAAATGTGGAGGTATTACAATAATAATAAATTTCAATTTTCTCATTTCAGCAAGAATCTGGTGGAACTGTCCTCAGTACAAACTGGAATGAAGTTGGCAAGGGTAAAGTGGAGAAAAAGCCCCCAGATGGCTTAGAATGGAAACAATGGGATTCGTAAAATCTATCCCACTGCAACATTCATGTTCAGTATCACAAAAATGGAATTGATTCGATTCCAGTTAAAATCGGAAACATTTTCGTTTCACTGTCGTTCATTCATTCATGAATTATTGTTACTCTCCAAGTTTTTAATAATCCCTTTCGTTCTGCAATTTAGTCGGTTGATTACTTCAGTGTAAATGACATGATTTTTAATGCACTGCTGAGTTCAATGTAAATAAAAACAAGCATGGGCTGGAGCCTATTCGACACAGGGCATGTGGCCGTCACTTTTTGCGTTATTGGTCTTTCCGTTTTTTATTTCTACCAATTCCATTGATAGTACTCTTCCGAATGGATTCGTAGCAATTCCCTGTCCCTGTCACAGGCACACAACTGCAACCACACTTTACAGGGTGTCTACAGGGAGATATTCAACCTTTTGATGAAATAGATTTATACAAGTGAAATATTTACGAAATCGCTCGTTTGATTGCGCTCATCCGAAATATCAACCTTCAGTATTCTAAGAGCTAGGACTATACCAAATTTCAACTTGCTATCTCCATTTTTTCTCAAATGACAAGATTGCGTACAAGATTTTTCGTGGGAAAACGGAAAAATGGTAATATCGCCAAACTTTGTCTTAAAGAGTATATATATTTTGATAGATCTAGAAAGAGGCCATCGAGACAACTATTTTGAAAAAAGAACAATTGAAATCAGTGCAGTAGCTTTTGAGATATTGAGGAAAAACAAAATTTAAATAAGTTGTTATATCTCAGAAACTACTGGACCGATTGGGCTGATACAACGCGCCAAAGTTGAGCTCAATCATAGCTACAATGAGCCAAAATTTCTGATTTTTATCGACAAATTTCACAGTATGTATATTGAATTTTCTAAAAATTAATCACCAAAAATACAACTTTTCGGATACATACATACAGACATGATCCTAAAAACAATTTCTTCATGTTTCATAACATTCTAGACCATTTGCAATCAAAATTAGAACATCGAAAAATCTGTCAAAAACAAGGCTTCCATTCAGACGCAAAAACTCTGGAAATATCAAAAATTCAATTTATTTTACAATATACAAATGCATTTTTCACATCTACCTATGTTACAACTCAAACCCCTGGCAAGTCTTCACAAATTCCAATAAAAAACTCAACAATCATGAAGTGATTTTACCTAGAACATAGCATACAAAAAGTATTGCACCTATCATTATGACTTTATCGTTTACAATTTTAGATGTATGTTGAGGGGGCGGATTGTTCACCACAGGTGTAGGTGTGGGCGCAGGTGTAACAGTTTCATTCCTCCAAGAATTAAAAAATCCCTGTTGTTTATTTATACTTCTTTCAAACGAATCAAAATACTCGCGAAACAATGTTTCATTTTTAGTTTGCCCCGAGGCGATGACATTCCGAACGTCAGCTATTCTTCGATTATTATAAATCATCGATCCCCCAAGGGACAGAACAGCGATTCCAGCTGATGCGAGAATTGATAAATATCTATATTTCTGTGCATTCATAGATTGACTGTCGTGATATTCTTTGATCGCAGTAGCCAGCTGCGTAAAATGATCCCTCTCTTCATTCTCCAGCAGTCGTAACTGCCCCATGACTCTGCTCTGCTCTTGCAGCCCTTTATTCTCCATTATCGTCAACTGAACGTACTTAGGATCCTCCCTCTTTGTCTGCACCAGTTCTCCATAAATATCCTTCAATTTGTCAGCAACCACTCGGGCCTGGTTCATTAGATCCCGTCGTTGGTCCTGACAGTGGAATAGCTTATCCTGGATTGCTATAACTTGTCTTTTTGCCACTTCGACGTCCTCCAGACCCGTCAATTGTTGGTACCATTTCCACCAGTTCACCAGTTTTACTGGGATCGGGGTGGATGGCTGGAGGGCGGCTTTGTGGAAGTCCTGGATTATTGTGGTGGTGTTGCCGTGAACATGCTGAAAGATTAAATCTCATTGAAATCAGGAGAATGTTATTCGGATAAGTGATTGAATTTCATGTTCTGGTTCATCCCCACTGTGGTCACATATCCAAAAAATGTCAGGCGATGTTGAGAGAAAATTACATAATAATAACCCGACAAAATTTTTAGTGTCCAATTCTCAATTTCTGTCATTTATTCTATTCATTCTCTCAAAAAATATACCATTTTTAAAACTTGCCGGAGACTGAAAAACTATTTTTTTTATTTCTTCCCGCCTACGTTTTTTTGCATTTTTTGGATTTCTTCTCGCTGAAATATTGATATCCCTCTAATACTTGAAGAAAAAAAGTGATTCGAAGTTCCCGCCGACATAAAAGAAGAAATAAATTCATTTTCTAGCCGATTACCCTGATTATTTTTGATTCTTTTTTCATTTTTTTTTCATAATAATAATTGGAATTCGACCATAGGAATGAGGAGTACCGATATCCTTCTTCCATATGAAGGGAAAAATAAATTTTAAAAACTTTCAACGATACATGGAGAGATTTTTCTATTACCCGAATGAGATTTCGAATGACTTGTTTTGTGTTTGTTTTGATCACAATGAAAAAACACTTTTTATTGATCGTTAACATAATTCTTCTTCATTCAATGTTCTAACTTGTGAATTAAGGAAAAGAAAATATAAAAATAAGAATGTAGAAAATTAAATTAATCTAATTGTGAAGACGAAAAATGGAAATAAAATAAAATAAAATAGTATAAATTAATCCGGCGACGGGCGCAAAGCGCCCGTTCGCTAGTGAAGTAAATATTTATGTAATTGTCATTTTGTAAGATACATGTTGTTTTCATTTGCTTCAATATTCCTTAAAATCTTTTGGATAATTAACAACAATGGAGATGAAACAAAACATGAATAATTCAAATAGGTATTTGGAATTACTAGTGCGTTTGGTGGCCCGCCGGCGGTGCAATTTTTTTCATGTTGAAATTCATTCAACGATTTCATGTTCAAATCGAAATTTATGCGATAAATGCCAGAAAAGTTTAGAGTATTCTGAAATGTTGTCGGAGTACCGGGAGCGCATTGATGATGAAAGGGTTTCGTAGGTAAGTTCTCAAATCAATCGAGAAATTGTTGCAAATTTTTGAGTGTTTTTATGATATAATCACGTAAAATTGACGTAAACATTCCCTCGCAAAAACTACTGTATTGGTCTGGAGGTTTTTAAAATAAATAAATAAATTGCTAGAACATTACATTACTTTCAGAAGCGTGAGCTTCTGAATTAATCGCGAAATTTCTAAAAATTTCTAGAACATTCCAGAGTCTTCTGGAACATTCGGCAATGGAAAATTATAGAGTTTTTGAGATGATTCGCGAACTTTCTAAAGAATTCTGTACCGTTCCGGATCTTTCTTGAACTGTGAATAATTTAATTCGGAAAAATAATATTTGGAATTATTTTTGCTCTCAATTATCCAAAATGGCACATGCAGCTTTTGGATTAGCGCTTTGTTTTTATTCTAGTGTCCAATACAAATGTCTAAATTGCAGAACTTCTCAGATGACGATCAAGCGAGAAAAAATCGGGGATGTAAAATGTAAAATTTTCCTTTTTCTAAGAAAATTTTCATTAGACAATCCAAGAAAGACATTCAAATTCTCGGTAATTTTTATTTGAATCTGCTCTACTCAAATTCAGCTAAATTTTCGTATCAATGGAACAGGTAAAAACAATCTTTCAATCATAACAGTATTCGATGAATAATGGGGAACCATTGGAAACAATGGGGAGTTGCGTAATGATATTGAAGAAATAACAAACAGTGGAATACAATACGACAAAGCCTATTGTCCATTGGATCCCTACATAGAAATAGTGACATAATATAGGGAAGCAATTAATTTTTTTATTCTGTTAACATGCAATAACATGCAATAGCAAATTTCTGTTCTGTATTTGCAAAGCTGGGTGAAATATTATGTGACTTAAAAATTAAAATATTCATGAGTGTTTAAATAAAAGCAGACAAATAACATTTCGAATAATTGCTATTCTCATTTCATCGAATATAACAAATTCAAGTTATATGTATACGATTTTAAATTGTCAATACCTCCTGACTGAAAGGTAAAATTTCAATAAATTACGATTCGTATTAAAATCTGAAAGGATACCTTCGAAATTAAAAAAAAAGTTGTACAATGATTCAATTTACTCTTAACTCCACATTTGAAAAAATTCAATAGAAAAACTGAGCGAATTTGCAGGAACATTCTATTGGAATTCTCTAGAAATTCTAGGGAATTCTCTATGAGATATTTGACAGGTAAAAATCAATAGGTTTAGATTTGTCTATAAAAATACCTGGACATGAATTTTCTAATTTTGTTTTCACTCGGATCCTATAATGCAAAACAAAACAAAATATAGCGCAAAAAACTTGAAAATTCGTGCCCAATAATTTTAATTGAAAAAATCTCAAGAGAAAAATTCAAACAGAAGAATCGAAATCTATTAACTTTTTCCTATCAAATATCGCAAAAAACAAATAGAATTTTAACGAGAATTCTCTAGAATTGTAATAGAACCTTTATAGAATTTCTAGAAAATTCCAATAGAATTTCCTAGCGAATTCGCTAAGGTTTTCTATTGAATCTATGTGTGCGTGTCCCCTAATTTTAGAAGAAATAATGAATAATCAGTTTCGAGTCGATAGAAATAATCATTATGAAATAAGTGAGGATGAGGTGAAATCGACCCTTTTGTTTTTTTTTTCAATCATCATAAATGTTAATGACGGGTTGAAATATTGATGAAATTTCATATATTTTTGTCAATACATTGAATGGTCCACTTCATCAACTATTGAATGAGTTATTAATGTTTCACAAAAGTCAAGTGTTCATTTTACTCAGCTGGCCCCAAATTATTCCAAACAGTACAAAATCCTGCTAAACCTGGAGAAAACAGGCTGTGAAAGGTTTATTTACCTTCACTAATGTGTCATATTTTTCGGTTGCCTTACTCTGAAGATTGTGAGCTTTTTCAGCAGCGCCTTCCACGACACTAGTCAGCAGTGGCGAGCGATTGATTCTCGACGTCAGAGCCTCGAATAATCTCCTCGATTGCCCTGACATTTTGAGAAATCAATCTTCTCCAATAAATATCTACAATTAATTCACCTCCGAATATTTTCTCCGGCAGTCGTAGGTTAGAATTCGCATCATTACGACTACGAGACTGACGTTTATATCCGGGCTGCTTCACACCATGCGAATCATGTGGACACAATCGCCGGTATGAAAACCCCCCATTATTATTGTTTTGTCTGGTCAGCTGCAAGTGGAGGGTACTGGATATCACGTGCGTGTCGAGTTGCTGGAACCGAGAGATAAGGTATCAATTGTTATGCTCATTCTTCGCCAGCCTCTCTCAGTTAGCTGCTGGTCCCTTGCATAAGCAGCCAATTCAGAACCAGATCCCTTCATTATTTTTCACGTTCACAGTGTGTGCTTTATACCCGATATTTTCCAAGTGTTACTTTGCCACAACTTCTATCCTGCTCCAAACGTCCACCAAATATTTCCATTCCCAATAACTTTCTCTTGAATACTTTATTACATTCTATTACTTCAATCCTTCAAAAGCAGAAGATCCAACGATCGTTTTATTATCTTTTTTATCGACATCCTGTGCAATCGTTTAATGGTCTCCTCGATACTTTCTCAACACCTGAATCACTCAGCAGAAGGTACCTCTCACCTCGAAAAGTCCTACCCTCAAGGGTCATCCCTCAACTAGACTGACCAATCACCCACCTTCGGCCTTTCGCCCTCACATGACACTAACTCCAAACTCCCTGTACCACAATTTGATTAGAATTCTTCTAACCCTCTTAAAATAGATTTTTAATTTGTGCATTTTTAATTATTTAATTGCTTCCCTCGTATAGAGGTTCGAAAAGTCCAAAGATAGCATATCGCATCCGGCTTTCCATGTAATTTGTACCTTAAAAGCATCTAAGGTTTGATCGAGTAAAATAGCCCGGGGATAATACAAAACCCTCTTAGAAGTAACTAGGAAGATATCCAAAGTGTACTAAACAGTACATTTTAGTCTTAAAATAAACTTTTCGAGTTATAGTTTGAGGGAAGTTTTTTCTGCAATTTGGTATTCAACATTTGCTGGCCGAATTCTTCGTTCCCTGTCCTGCGTATATATCAACCATATGCTTGAGAAGTTTTGGCCGTAAAAAAACCTGTATTATATTTTAGTACTTTGATCCTTCAAAATCCAAGTACCCAACGATCGTTTTATTATCCGTTTCGTCGAAATCCCTTGGAATTGTTTAATTGCCTCCTCGGTACTTGCCCAATACCTGAATCACTGAGCAGGAGTACTCTCTCTCATTTACCTCAGCAAGTCCTACCCTCAAGGGTCATCCCTCAACTAGACTGATCAATCACCCACTTTGGGCCTTTCTCCCTCCAGTCTTACTAGCCTCTACTATTCGTCCTCACAGGACACTAACTCCAAACTCTCTGTACCATAACGTGATCAGAATTCTTCTAACCCTCTTAAAAGTAGCCAGGAAGATATCCAAAGTGTATTGAAGGGTACTTGCATTTTAGACTTAAAATAAAGTTTTTGAATTATAGTTTGAGTGAAGTGTTTTTTTCAATCTGGAATCCAACATGGGCTCTCCCGATTCTTCCCTCCTTGTTCCGTGTATGTATTAACCATATCCTTAAATATTCCTAAGAGTCAACCAAGGGATGGAAAAATCTGAAGGATAGTTTGAGAGATTCGTTCATTTTTTGGGAAATAATTTCAAAAGGTTTTCAAAAATACGAGGTGGTTGGCAAAAGACACGTCTCCATCTCGTTTGGATACCCCCTCTGTTGCTGGAAGGGGTTTTTAAAAATAATTCTTAAAATTATTTATACTTTGCAGATCACCCTCAACTCGCTTCATCCGTTTTTCACAATAAGAATAATTTTTTAAAGGCTTCTTTGAGATTTCTCCATCCCCTTTTGGCTGAGAATTCATGGCGCAAAGTTTTCCCGCATTTCAGCACGCATGAAAAAATTTAATAGAAAAACCTATCGAATTAGTTAGAAAATTCTATTGAATTTCTATTAAACTTACTATTAGTTTTTGGCTGATTCTATTGACATGTTGAATAGAAAACATTCAATAGAAAAAGTCAACAGAATTCGATTTTTCTATATAACTTATTCTTTTCATATATTTTCTATAGAATTTGCTCGACTCAAATTTTCTAAGTTTTTTTCATTCTATTTTTATTTTCTTCTGATCAAGAAAATCAAACGAAAAAACTTAGAAAATTTGAGCCGAGGTAATTCTGTGGAAAATATCGCAATAGAATAAGTTATCGAGAAAAATTGAATTCTGTTGACTTTTTCTACTGAATATTTTCTATTGAACATTTCGATAGAATCGGCCAAAAACTCATAGAACAGTTCAATAGAAATTCAATAGAATTTTCTAACGAATTCGATAGGTTTTTCTATTAAATTTTTTCGTCCGTATTTTTTTACTCTCAAATCAGAAATAAATTCTCAATGGAAGTTGGTATGAATAAAAATATTCTGGTTGAGTTCGTGCTCAATTAGTAGTCTAGCATTATTAATAATAATTAATTCAGAAGTGGCGCAATAACTCAGAGTCTTATGAGAAAATGAATCTTTCGAGATTCGAGAAAAGATTAAAATGTAGAAAAACCTTAATAAATTAGAAAAAATACATAAAGATTTTATGCCTAATGCGAAAATTATCGTCAGTGTGAAGCTTTCGTGCTAAATAATTTATGTTTCTGGCTCCCCCAAATATACAGGATGCCCTAGACAAACGAGCAACTATTGTTTAAGAAAATAATTCTAAAGAATTTCACGGATTAATGTTTTTCCGACATTTTAAACTTATTTTTCCTCACTGCACTCAACGCCTTACGTGAAGTTTGGAAATACTACTTAAATCCCCAGTGCCTGTGTGATAGATTAGGCCACTATTATTCCTCGAAATATTCACAAGTTCCAATATCATCAACAGGGCAGGAAGGATGACTCGTCGTCGTAAGGACACGACCATCACCATATCAGACTCAGATGAAGAATCACTCCCAGTTCCAAAAGCACGAGCAAAAGCCAAGACAAAGCCAAAGATAATCAAGATCTCCGATTCAGAAGAGGAGCTAAAGCCCCTAAAAACCAGGATCAGAAAAAAAACTGTTAAAAAATCAGTGTCCGATGAAATCGAAGTTTCGAGCTCGAACGTAAAAAAACCTAGAAAAAGGAAGAGTGAGGAGCCAGCAGAGATGGGTGGCTTATTCAGTAAGAAACGAAAGACCAGAGAGTCGAAAGTAGCTCAAAGGGACCCAGTTTACGGTGCACTATCAACCGCCCCAACAAGAGCCATCTCCCCAACCCCAAGAGTCATCAGCCACCCCCAAGATTCCACCATCACCCCTAGAGTCGACATCGCCTCCCCGAAGCACGACACATACTGCGACTGGTCTGACGTCGACTACATCCAGGAGCACCATGGAATCACCAGAGCAGTAGCTGCGACCATCGTCCAACTATTCACAGCTGACAATACAGTGCCCTTCATAGCGAGATACCGAAGAGCAGCCACAGGTGGTCTAGACGCCGATCAGCTGAGGCTGATAAAGGAGAGCTTCGACAGAGTCAAGCAGATACAGCACAAGGCAAATACTGTGATAAAGGCGATCGAGAGGGTGAACAAGTGGACTCCACAGCTCCACAACACAGTGAAATCGTTGAAGTCCCTCAATGCATTGGAGCAAATTCACAGCCTCTACAAGACCACCAAGAAATCGTTAGCTGAACGTGCGAGGGACCTCGGTCTCGGCCCCACTGCTGAGTCTATCCTGCAGGGAAAACCCCTTCCCCATCTGCGGACATTCGTAAATCCTTCTAAAGACGGACTTCAGAATGAGGAACAGGTAAAGGAAGGTGTTGTCTGCATTATGGCTGATACAATAAGCAAGGACAAGAGTGTGTTCGACAAGATCAATGATCTGCGCGAGAAGATATCGATCCAGATACAGACGAAGAAGACAAAGACACCAGACGGAACTAGTGCCAAAAATGATGATAAGGACAAGTATGACATGTATTACGACTGGAGTTCGTCGGAGAAGAATATAAAACCTCACCAGATCCTGGCGCTCAACAGGGCAGAGGCCCAGAAGATCATCACGGTTAAGCTGATTGTACCAGACTTTTTTGAGACGTCTATCAAGAGGTATGTGATGGAGTTGTATGGGGTGGCGGCTAGAGCTTCGGGCTTTCACAATCAGCTGATCAATGAGGCCTTCAACCATGCCTACAAGAAGTCGATGAAGCCTTCGATGGTGAGGAGAGCGAGGACTGAGATGAATGAGAAGGCTGAGGAGGCTTCCATGGAGGTTTTCGCGACGAACGTTAAACAACTGCTGCTGGCGTCTCCGGTCAGGGGTATGTAGTGTTTTTTTACGAACTTTTTCGGTATATTTTATCCTCAAAAATATCAAAATCTTTCGCCAAAGGAGAGAATGTTAAATTGATGGTAGATTCATAAAAATAACAGGGATAGCCATATCCAGACAGTGTAATTACTGTTAATTATTAAGTAGTCAATTAGTTGATATCACTTTTACATTTTAATTATTGAAGTAATCATCAATTTAAATAGCCTAATTTTGAATTATTCATTAATCAGCAATTGAGTTAGGGAGATTGACGATTATTTGGATAATCGGAAAACCCTTATAAGAAATTTAGTACTATCTACTTAATAGAAAATGTATAGTTCCATGTTTTTGAATATTTAATTTACTATCAATTGGAAATTTGGATAATCAGTTATTTTACTACTGGCGAATGGGCGCTTCGCGCCCGTCGTTAGATTAATTTATACTGTTTTGTTTTAGTTTATTTTATTTCCATTTCCGTCTTCACAATTAGATTAATTTAATTTTATTCATTCTTATTCTTATTATATATACACATTTTTTTTCCTTAAGAACATGCGTTGAAGGTCGATTATATAGATCTGAAAACGAATAAGTAGTGCAAAAAAATTTTTTTTTATTGTTCGTTTGCCCGAAAGCACTTAAAATGCCAAAAACAGTCCAGGGCCTCCAATTTTTGAGCTACGAAGGATTTTTTTTCTCAAAATTTTCGGAAAAATATGTGGAATAACAATTACGAGCTATTTTTTTTTAATTCGCCTCTTACATGGCTAAATTTGCTTTTTTTGTATTTTCTCACACAAATAGTGAATTTTTTTATATGAAAAAAACCGAAATCAGCTGTGTAGGAGTCGAATTCCAAAAAACTGACTCGTAATTGTTGTTTCACACATTTTTCCGAAAATTTTGAAAAAAAAATCTTTTGTAACTCAAAAATTGGAGGCCCTGAACTGTCTTTAGCATTTTAAGCGTTTTCGGGCAAACGAACAATAAAAAAAAATTTCTTGCACTAATTATTCATTTTCAGACCTATATAATCGATCTTTATGAAAAGTCTCAATCCAATAACCCACGACTTTTAAAACTCACAGTAGTCTCCCCTTAATGCACCAGTTACAACATTGAATGAAAAAGGACTTATGTTAAACGTCAATAAAGTGTTGTTCTTGTGATCAAAGCAAACACAAAACAAAAGTCATTGGAAATCTCATTCGGGTAATAGAAAAATCTCTCTATGTATTCTGAAAATTTTTAAAATCGATTTTGTTTTCGAATAATAAAAGAATACCCATAAATTCGCTTTCTATCCTTGTCTTTCGATAGAATGAACAGAATAAATGACAAAATTGCGAATTGGAGACTAAAAATTTTATCGTATTATTATTATGTAATTTTTTAATTTCGATTAGTATATTTAAACTTTGATCAGTGTAAGTCGGTAATTCTTTTAATACTGAAGAATCGGAAGATTGATGGCCGTCCCTGCAGTGGACATGCTCATGTACAGACATGGTCTCCAAACTTCGTATTTTTACGTTTCTCACCCGGCGACAATTCTCACAAGTTTTTGTTGTCTCGGCGACATCATTTCCAATCGAAATTAGAAAATGTGAAAATTGGACGATTACAATGCTTCCATTCGGAAACAACACGACAGACTATCCGTACGTGTTTACAGCACGACGGTTCCGAGGCGAGAAATCCCGGAAAAAATAGACCACGGAAAGAATAGACTAAGGGAAATTTTTAAGTTGGATGGGTTTTAGCATATTTTGGGCATGTGGGCTATTTTTTCCTGGCCTATTTTTTCTGCCTACACGAGGCGACAGGGAACAGGCCCTTGCAGCATAGTCTCTTGACCTACGGTCACAAATAATAATATTTCCATGATTAAATACTCAATCATAAATTTTTGGATTCATTGTATTTATGCGGAAAAGTACATTCCTATAGTTCACTTGCGGGAAATTCAATTTAATTTTAAATTCCCACAGGTAAAGTGGTTCTCGGTATCGATCCGGGGTTCGCTCATGGATGCAAACTGGCTGTTATCTCTCAGCAGGGCGATGTTTTAGAGACAGCGACTATTCATCCACACAGGCAAGATGGGAGAGGACGTCAAGAAGCTGTGGATAAGCTGCATTCACTTGTTCGTAAGCATCAGTGTAATGTTGTTGCACTGGGTAATGCAACAGCTTGTCGCGAGACCGAGGTATTTCTCTCGGATATCATTAAGTCTGGAATATTTGCACCGCTTGATGTAACTTACACAATTGTGGACGAGGCTGGGGCTTCGGTGTACAGTTGTGGAGCGGAGGCTAAAGCGGAATTTCCAAAATTGGATTACAATGTCATCTCGGCGATATCAATAGCGAGACGGTTGCAGGATCCACTTGCTGAGCTTGTGAAGATTGAGCCGAAGCATCTTGGAGTGGGAATGTACCAGCATGATTTACCGGAGAAGCAGCTGATGAATAAATTGAATGAGGTGGGTATACGGGGGGCGGAATTTTCATTACTATTTCTCATTTAGAAGTTATCGAACCGTGGAGGAAAACAATTTCATAGAGAAATGCAACGCACTCGCTAGAGAATTTTAGCGGGTTGTTATTGAATGTCTGTTAGTTTGTCGCTGATTCTGTTGAACAATTGAACAGATTTTTTACGTGCTTTTTTTTCAATAGGAAATATTCAATGAATAGGATTTTATCTTTCTACGCAATTCATTCTGTTTAAATTATTTGTATAGACATTCTTCAGTTTGATTTTTATAATTATTTCTACTTGCATTTTTTAATGAGGGAAGAGAAACATGCAGAAGAAAACGTAGAGAATTTATGGCGACGAATTTCTATAAAAAATATCTCAATAGAGCAAGTTGTATCGAAAGATCAAAATCTATTCATTTTTACCGCACAATATTTTCTGTTGAACATCCATTTGAAAAAACGCGTAGAAAAGTTTTTCAATAAAATCGGTGAAAAATTTATGGATTTTTCAATAGAAGTGAAAGAGAATTGTCGAGTGAAAGCTCTAGATTCATTTATTAAAGTTTTTTCTATTCTGTTTAAATTATGTCTATACTAATTCTTCAGTGCAAATTTTCTAATTCTTTCTGTTTGAATTTTTTAATGAAAAAAAAATGCAGTAAAAAATGAGAATTTATGGCGAGGAATTTCTACAGAAAATATCTCAATAGAGTAAGTTGTATCGAAAGGTCGAAATCTATTCATTTTTACCGCACAATATTTTCTGTTGAACATCCATTTGAAAAAACGCGTAGGAAAGTTTTTCAATAAAATCAGTGAAAAATTTATGGATTTTTCAATAGAAGTGAAAGAGAATTGTCGAATGAAAGCTCTAGATTCTTTTGTTAAAGTTCTTTCTATTTTGGTTAAATTATTTCTGTATTAATTCTTCAGAGCAAATTTTCTAATTCTTTCTGCTTGAATTTTTTAATAGGGAAAAAAAGAAAAATGTAGTAAAAAACGTAGAGAATTTATGGTGAGGATTTTTCTATAGACAATATGTCAATAGAGTCAGTTGTAGTGGAAAATCAAAATCTGTTGATTTTTGCTACACAATATTTTTTATTCAATATTTCTATTTGAAAAAATGCGGAGAAAAGCTGCGAAATTTTTCCATAGAATCTATGAAAAATTCATAGATTTTTCAATATAAGTGAAATAGAATTGTCTAGCAAAACCTCTAGATTATTTTATGAAAGTTTTTCACACATGAAGTGACGAATAAATAATTCTTCTATCGTTTTAATGAAAGAATACAGCTATGTAGTGGTTGTATTTTTGAATTACCGAAGATGGCAAATACAGTAGTACTAAAAACACATTTAATATAAAATGTAGTAATTTGAAATGAATATTTGATGCAAATTTCGTGACATTTTTATTTCAAATCAAAGATCAGGACGATATTTTAAGAATAATTGAAAATCATGGAAGGAATGTGAATCATCGCAACAATCAGAGAATTTTACAGCAATATTTGAAACATAACAGGCAACATAGGCATCATTGAAATATTTATAACTGTTTATTATCTCTAAGTGAAATATTTGAGCCATATAATAAATTCAAAATTATGATTTCCGCTTGCATTACATTCTAAAGAATTATTCGAAATAATATCTCTATCTGATTTCCATGAAATACTTCCCAGCTGCGGTATCACTTAAGAAACAATTCTTCTATTCTTCCCCCATGAGTACACTTAACGTCATTTCCATATTTGTTTGCCAGGTTGTTATGGAAGCTGCGAGTTTCGTCGGAGTTGATGTTAATACAGCTTCCCAGTGTTTACTGAGACGAGTGGCTGGCTTGTCGGAGACAAAAGCAGCGAATATAATTGAATGGAGGAGGGAGAATGGACCCTTTGTCAATCGTAATCAGTTGATGAAAGTCAAAGGTATTGGGGCCAAAACTTTTGAACAGTGCGCCGGATTTATCAGAATTCAGCCAGAAACTGCGGTGTTAAAATCGCCAGGTCGTGCTAAGAAGACTGGATTGAATTACTTGGATCAGACGTGGATCCATCCTGAATCCTACTCTGTTGCGCTTTCTCTGATAGATGATTCTGGACTCGATTGCAAGGATATTGGCACCAGACCATTTATCTCGGCCATCAAGGTTTATGCCACTCGAGGATATGGGGCTCTGACAAAAGTACTGAAAACTGATGAAACGACGTTGCAGATTATTATCAAGGGACTCACCATGGCCAAGGATGAGGACATCAGAACTCAGAATAATGTGCCATTGTTCAGGAAGAGTCTGCGGAGCATTGACGATCTCGTTATTGGATCATTACTGAGTGGGGAAATCAGGAATGTCACGCATTTCGGGGCTTTTGTCGATATTGGAGTGGGTAAAGATGGCCTTATACATGTGAGTCAATCAAAGGGGGAAACGTTGAAGATTGGCCAACGAGTTGATGTTAAAGTACAGAATATTGAGAAGGAGCGCGGTCGTATTGGATTGATTTTAATCACTAGTTATTAATGATTAAAACATTGGTTTACTTTTGTTATTGTGATTGGAGTCCAATTGTTTTTCTCATATGATTATTCATGTATTCAAACATTGTGTAGAATTTAAAAATCAAAATCCTTGGATCACACTAAAAATTGATTAAATGATGAATGATTGTCGACTCGATTGCAAGGATATTGGGACCAGAGCGTTTAGTTTCACCATCAAAGTTTATGCCACTTGAGGATATGGGGTTCTGATGAAAGATTTGAAAAGGATGAGACGACGTAGCAGATTATTATCAGGGGACTAACCATGGCCACGAATGAGAACATTACTTATGAGAATTTAGAAATGTCACGAATTTCGGGGCTTTCCTCGATATTGGAGTGGGTAAAGATGGCCTTATACATGTGAGTCAATCAAAGGGGGAAACGTTGAAGATTGGCCAACGAGTTGATGTTAAAGTACAGAATATTGTGAAGGAGCGCGGTCGCATTGGATTGATTTTAATCATTAGTTATTAATGATTAAAAACATTGGTTTACTTTTTTTTATTATGATTGGAGTCCAATTGTTTTCCTGATGTGATTATTCAGTTATTCAAACATTGTGTGGAATTTAAAAATCAAAATCCTTGGATCACACTAAAAAATTGATTAAATGATAAATAATTGTGGACTCGATTGCAAGGATATTGGGACCAGAGCGTTTAGTTTCGCCATCAAAGTTTATGCCACTTGAGGATATGGGGTTCTGATGAGAGAATTGAAAAGGATGGGACGACGTAGCAGATTATTATCAGGGGACTAACCATGGTCAGGGATGAGGATATCAGAACTCAAAATAATGTGCCATTGGTTAGGAAAAGTTTGACAAGCATTGATTCTGGTTATTGGATTATTATTGAGTGGGAAAGTCAGGACTGGGTACAGAGGCCTTACACATGTGAGTCAATTGAAGGGAGAAACTTTGAAGATTGGCCAACGAGTTGATGTTAAAGTACAGAATATTGTGAAGGAGCGCGGTCGCATTGGATTGATTTTAATCACTAGTTATTAATGATTTTTTAAAATTCTGATTGGAGTCCAATTTTTTCCTTATGTAATTATTCATGTAGTCACATTGTGTGGAATTTAAAAATCAAAATCCTTGGATCATACTAAAAAATGGATTACATGATAAATTATTGTGGGCTCGTTTGTAAGGATATTAACCGTTTAAAGGACCAGACCGTTTATCGCTGCCATCAAAGTTTATGCCACTCGAGGATATGGGGTTCTGATGAAAGAATTGAAAACCGATGAGACGACGTTACAGATTATTATCAGGAGTAACCATAGCCAAGATGAAAACATCAGAACTCAGAATAATGTACCATTGTTCAGGAATTCGTCAGGCTATTGGGTCATTACTGAGTGGGGAAGTCAGGAATGTCACGCATTTCGGGGCTTTGGTCGATATTTAAATGGATAAAGAGGCTTTATACATGTGAGTAAATCAAAGGGCAAAACTTTGAAGATTGGACGTCGAATTGACGTTAAAATACAGAATATTAGGGAGCAGCGAGGTCACATTGAATTGATTTCAATCAAGAGTTTTTAACGACTCGAGTTGTTAATATTTTTTTTTCTCTTCTTTAAAATACAATAAAGGGGTAATTGTAGTCAATTTTTTTCTCATGATATTATTTCTGTATTTATTTTTGATTGTAAGGAACAACTATTCAATAGCTTGCTATTGATCACGAAGTAGAGCACGAGTTGATTCACTTGATGTGGACCACCAGGTGCACGTGTATGCCCTAAGTGCTCTGAATTGTTATCGAGTGACCTTTCAACTTCACGTCACGCTGGTTTCATTCAAAATCCACTCCATAAATCTTTATTGCAAGGATATTTTATCCTATCAGAATATGGGTGTTTTCGCCAACTATTGGTATGGTTTTGGATCTTCAAGAATTTAATTTCGTTGAGGCTTCTTATATGGCTTTCTTATCATTCAAAAGGTCTCAACAATATTTTTCCTATTTTTTTCAAATTTCAGTAGGAAACATTTTCCCAATTACTGATTTTAAAATTTTTTCATTCCAAAATTCATTATTCAAGGTTCATAAATGATTGATAAATAATTAACTTTGAAATAAAAAAATTTAAAAAAATTGAAAAAATTTTTTTTGGATAGAACGAATCCTAGTTCCAGTCTAATTTTTTAATATGTTTCGTAAAAATAGTCACTTTGGATAGAGAAATAAAAAAATCTAAAATCGAGGTGGGGGTTGGTGGTACCACACACAATTTTCTACTTTTTTGGTAATTTTGAAGCATTTCCGACGACGTGAGCTAATTGGCACCATGCTCAATCGAAAGACCGGAAAATTTCTTTCGGAAATCCTTACTGAAAGCCTGAAAAAAAGGGACATGTACTGCAACGCAAAATTTCGTCAAAAACTCACGAAACTCAAGAATTAACGTTGTGGGTGTAATAAAATTTGCAAAAAAATGAAAATTTTTTTTAGGCCTTTTGAATAATACGAAAGCCACATAAGCCTCAACAAAATTAAATTTTTGAAGGTACAAAACTATACCAATAATTGTCCAATCAGTATTTGTATCGAGACCTCCGAAAAACCCCCGAAAAACTATTTTTAATTACTTTTTTATTGGTGTATGCCGCTTGTATTCCACCACATCTATCTGTTGTAAAATTGTAAAACTGAGAAATAAAGACGGAATATTTTCCACAATAGCTTGCCTGATAATTCAGATGAATCCTATGAATTCCCTAGACACGGGTGGTAAAAGTCTCCGACAACGGTAAAGTCAGCAGGGTTGGCGTCGCGACGTCGCGACGCGCCCATTTCCTTCATCGACGTAATCTGAACGTTGAAAAGTACCTCGTCTTTCGAACACTCCGGAAACAAACTCTAATACGAGCTCTATCGGGGGAAAATAATGTTCAATCTTCTGGAATGGCCTAGGCTGTAATATCCATTTCAATCGATCAATCATTTTTGAAATTGCCTCCGTAAATGGTACGACTCACCGGCAATTTTGAGCTCCTATTATATGGCTGTAAATAAAAACATTCTCTATAAGAGACATCGGCGGTTTTCAAATTCAGAATAGCCGGTGAAGAGGATTTAGAAAGTCAAACTGCATCGGCAAGGGGCGAATCGATAAAGTTTATTGATCACTTTCGCGAAACGTGGATGCGAGGGCAGACACTTTCAAGAGAGCCAGGCATTTTTACATAGACCCGTTTAAGAGGATTACGGGGAACGACTGAGAATTTCGCAGAAAGGCAATAAACACTGGCACGGTTTGTAAGTTGGATATTGACTGGTGGATGTTACTTGTTCCAACGGAAGGCGGAAATTTTTCACACTGAGAATTTTATTCTCAAGGATGACGAATGGGGGCATTCAAATATTATGTGACATGGTGAGGGGGTGGGGCTGTAGTTTTTGACGTTTTGAGGAAAATTGAAAATCGAGGGAATTCTATAGGAAATATGCCAAAAGGATTAATTGTTTAGAAAATTAAAAATCTAGTGATTAAATCTGTAAAATATTTTTTATTGAACATTTATACTGAAAAAACCATTGAAATGCTGTTGAATTTTCAAATGAAATCGGCGAAATACATTCCAGAATTTTTTTACGAATGCGTTGGGTCTATGAAATTTTGTTGTGGGTGTGTGGGGGTTTCAATTAATTTTTCTTGTTTTGAAAAATGATTTTTTTACGTAACGACAAGATAAGGATTTTTCAAAACAAGGAAAAATGTTCCTGAATCGAAAACATAATAATTTTAAAACTGATAAAATATAATAATTCTAAAACTGAAAAATCAATTATTTGAAATAATAATAATTCTTTTCCGTAAAATATAATAATATTTTTATTTAATCTCAAAAAAAATCTGTAGAAAATATATCTGAAGAATAAGTTGTATAGAAAATTCGAATTCTATTGAAAACTTGAAAAATCTGTGATTTGAATCTCAAAGACAGCCAAATTGTTTCAATAATATAATTATGAGAAATCACAATTAATTATAACACCATACGATTATTTTCATCGTTTCCTCGTTGTTCATATCGTGGCGTGGGCGCTCCTTAGAAAATTATGAGTGATGAAATTAGTAGAGGCAGAACATTCATGATATAAATATCCAAGAATTGAAAATGATGTATTCTTTGGCGACCAATTTACTGCTCAGGATAACATAATGGAAAAATGGCCATTTGTGAGATCGACATGCAGAATTTCGATCCAAAACAGATTAAGAGTGAATAGTCCATTCTTCAAGCTTATAACATTCATCAGATATGATCAAAAATCCATCAAATATTATGAGTAATTGCATGAAGAAGCTCGACACGATAACTTACTCGTACGAAAAAATTTAATGGAAAAACCTAGCGAATTCGCTAGACAATTCTAGTAGAATTCTCTTCTAACTTTCTATTAGTTTTTGACCGATTCTATTGAAATATTCTACAGAAAAAGTCAATAGAATTCGATTTCTCTATACAACTCATTCTATTGAGGTATTTTCTATAGAATTTCCTCAGCTCAAATTTTCCAAGTTTTTGTCATTCTATTTTTCTTTTTTTTCTTCACGAAAATCAAACAAAAAGATTCTATAGAAAAGATATCTAAATAGAATAATTTGTATAGAAAAATCGAATTCTATTGACTGTTGAACATTTCAATAGAATCATCCAAAACGTAATAGAAATTTCAATAGAAATCCAACTGAAATCGCGAATTCGCTAGGTTTTTCTATTAAATTTCTTCATACCCATAAACATCGTAAAGTTCCACAAGTTTCGATCCAATTCCTGCGAATTGTATTACTCCTCACAACAGAAAAACGATTGAATTCACCTGAATTAACCATTTCCGCAATAAAATAAATCAATCGATCTGTTCCCTGAACAGGTTTTACTCAATAAAAGCATATGTTTCTCAGAGTATAAAATAAAAGGATGCAGAACACTTTTCACTTTTCGACCGAAACGAATTTCCATCCTCATTTCTCTCCCTACTACTTAGGTGCATCGCACAGTCGAGTATATGGGGTCGTTTACCTTAGTTGTGTATATGTTGGGGAGATATATAACGAGGGAGTAATTAAAACGGGTCAAGGGTCAGGGCTGATACATTACCGCGTCGTTGACTGCTGGGGCCAGCAGAGCACGGTGGAAAGATAGTATGTGTTGACCCAGGCTTAACACTATTTGTTAATTCATATGTACTCGTATATTATCCGGCTTAATTGTAACATGATGTCCACTTAAGCAAATAGAAACAGTAATTCCATTCATCCTTTCAATTGACGACTCATTACCAATACATGAACTTGAAATATCTTCGGTTCTCCAGGAATATCACTTGTTTCATATTCCGAGATGATATTAAATTACACGATTTATCTCTGAACGAGATCATAACGCATCACATACCACAGACATATTCAATTTCCCGTTGCTTATGACAAGGCACGGACTCTCTAGGTACAGTTAAACCAGCGGAGTATGCAGAGACTTTTATCAAAGAACTAAATGGAGAGATACGAGAAAATGGAGTGAGAGAAAAATTTTTTTTTGCAAAGGGGATTCACCAACTCACCATTTGGCGAGGCAGTTGCAATTGCAGGACAAGCCCATGATTTACCTTGCATACATGCAAGCCAGGGCCAATCCTCTGCATGGAGCGATCGATATTTAAATAGTGGGCATAGTTGTGTATCCACCGTGTGGATTTGGAGAGCGTACAATGGAATAAAAGGAAACCATGAATACAGGTATATAGGTTGTTGCAAATTTCGACCGGGACAATCTCGTGTAAATCTGGAGCGGGGAAATAGATGTCTACCTGAATCGATGGGTCGATATCAGGGTGGGGGAATATTATTTGGGTTACTAATTACATGTTTCATGATTATTTGGTGTTTTGTAATCGTTAAACTGGTAGTTTAGTTGGGAAGAAGGCGAATTGAAACAGTTTTTATTTTTTATTTATGAGATGCGAAGAGTGCGAGTATTTCGAACATTTTTTTCATTTCGATGGAATATTCGAACCGAGTAATCATCAGTAATCTTTCGATATCAATAGTATTCAATAAATAATTGTGAAAAAATTAGAAAAATGAACGAAGTTAAGGATATTCAAGTACTTTTTTCTTTGGAGAAATGCTTTTATACTTTTGTAGTGGAACATCAAAGCTTTCATTTCAACTTCATTTGACCCTAAGTTTCCGTACATTTTACAATGATTTTATTATGTAAAATTAGCAGGTCTGAATTTGAATGTCGATATTGAACGGTTAAGAAAGATTTTTTAAACCTGCAAAAAATTGTCAAGTTTTTTGGAGAAAGATTGATGAAATAATTAAAAAATTGCAATTTTATTTTACAAATTTATTCATATTCACAATTTTACCAGAAATCGATACCATACCTACACAAATGGGAAATTGTTTTTATATTTATATATTATAGTTTGTTTGCTAATTAGTAATATGCTACCGAATGGTCATTTTACACATCATCTGCAAAAACTCTAAATTTACACAAATCATTACAAAAATCAAAACAATAATCACAGTTATCGCCTTTATCTTCAAACTCGGCCGAAGAGACATTCAAAGAGTTTTTTTAATTAAGCCATCATTCAATGAATTCAGAATATTTTTTTTTAGATATCGTAGGAAAACCGACTTGAAAAAAATGAAAAATATAATATATGGATTAAATTTTAATTAATGTCAATGGGTAGGACTGAACAATACCGATATTTGGACAAGAAAAAATTCAATTCCATCGATTTATTAGCGAACACATACGGACAGGGCCTAAACATTCCATATACGGAATTTTTTGATCATAATAGGTTGATATAACACAAAAAATCCGAAAGTTAAATTTGAAAGATTACAATGCTTCCATTCGTAAGCAAAAAATAAGGTTTCCGAAAGTTTCCACAATTTGTACTATTTATTCATAAAAAAAGAATGTTAAAAAAATAACTGTTCTGTGCAAAATGTAAGTTGACTGACGCTGAATATCCATCGTTTTTTTTCAAATTTTTCTTAGGCAGTTTAAATGACAAATTTGATGATTGAAAATGGCTGAATCTATAGTGTGGTCTGTTCTAAACTGCAAAAAATACTTGGATTTCCCTAATAGCGATATATTCGACGTAAAAATTAAAATTGCTATTTGACAAATCCTTTTGAATATTTGAATATCTACATGGAATGAAGTAGTAAAATAAAATGTGTAAATCTGTTCCCTCTGTTTTCATAGAATGAAACAGCAGATATCGATTTTATTCCAATTTTAGAAACCAAGACAAGAACTTCAGTTAATTGGTAGAAAATAGATGAGTTTCCAAAAACGTCTTATAATTCCATGAAGTCTTAACGAGATTAATATCTTGTCGTAGTGCTGCCGTCATGAAGTGAAATTTAGGATAGTCACTAAGTAGTGACTGTCCTAAATATTTAATACCTGTTCTGGAAGCAAAAACGACTGAATATTATTCACTAGTCCAACCTAATGAACTGGGAATAATTATTTCAAACAATGCTCCCAGAACCTATTTGAAATATTGCTTCTATCTGATTTTCGCGGAACAATTCCCAACTCTGGTCGATATAATTCACCCATATCACAACTCTCAAAAAGAATTCCCGAAGTTTCGTAATAAACTCGCTTATCAATCCAACAGGGGCA